TAAGCTGGTCCTACCCCATGGGATTTCCAGATTAGAATAGGTCCCCAGCAACTTAAGCTGGTCGTACCCCATGGGACTTCCAGATCACTGGTCGTACCCCATGGGATTTCCAGATTAGAATAGGTCCCAAGCAACATAAGCTGGTTGTACCTATGGAATATCCAGATAAGAATAGGTCCCCAGCAACCAAAGCTGGTCGTACCCCATGGGACTTCCAGATCAGAGTAGGTCCCCAGCAACCTAAGCTGGTTGTACCCCATGGGATTTCCAGATAAGAATAGGTCCCCAGCAACCTAAGCTGGTCGTACCCCATGGGATTTCCAGATTAGAATAGGTCCCAAGCAACTTAAGCTGGTTGTACCTATGGAATTTCCAGATTAGAATAGGTCCCCAGCAACCTAAGCTGGTCGTACCCCATGGGATTTCCAGATTAGAATAGGTCCCCAGCAACATAAGCTGGTCGTATCCATGGGATTTCCAGATCAGAATAGGTCCCCAGCAACCAAAGCTGGTCGTATCCCATGGGATTTCCGGATCAGAATAGGTCCCCAGCAACCAAAGCTGTTCGTATCCCATGGGATTTCCAGATCAGAATAGGTCCCCAGCAACCAAAGCTGGTCGTACCCCATGGGACTTCCAGATCAGAATAGGTCCCCAGCAACTTAAGCTGGTCGTACCCCATGGGATTTCCAGATTAGAATAGGTCCCAAGCAACCTAAGCTGGTCCTACCCCATGGGACTTCCAGATCAGAATAGGTCCCCAGCAACCTAAGCTGGTTGTACCCCATGGGATTTCCAGATAAGAATAGGTCCCCAGCAACCTAAGCTGGTCGTACCCCATGGGATTTCCAGATTAGAATAGGTCCCCAGCAACCTAAGCTGGTTGTACCCATGGAATTTCCAGATTAGAATAGGTCCCCAGCAACCAAAGCTGGTCATACCCCATGAGATTTCCAGGTTAGAATAGGTCCCCAGCAACCTCAGCTGGTTGTACGCATGGGATTTCCAGATTAGAATAGGTCCCCAGCAACCAAAGCTGGTCATACCCCATGGGATTTGTGGTTAGAATAGGACCTCAGTAACCAAAGCTGGTTGTACCCCATGGGATTTCCAGATAAGAATAGGTCCCTAGCAACCTAAGCTGGTCCTACCCCATGGGATTTCCAGATCAGAATAGGTCCCCAGCAACCAAAGCTGGTCGTATCCCATGGGATTTCCGGATCAGAATAGGTCCCCAGCAACCAAAGCTGTTCGTATCCCATGGGATTTCCAGATCAGAATAGGTCCCCAGCAACCAAAGCTGGTCGTACCCCATGGGACTTCCAGATCAGAATAGGTCCCCAGCAACTTAAGCTGGTCGTACCCCATGGGATTTCCAGATTAGAATAGGTCCCAAGCAACCTAAGCTGGTCCTACCCCATGGGACTTCCAGATCAGAATAGGTCCCCAGCAACCTAAGCTGGTTGTACCCCATGGGATTTCCAGATAAGAATAGGTCCCCAGCAACCTAAGCTGGTCGTACCCCATGGGATTTCCAGATTAGAATAGGTCCCCAGCAACCTAAGCTGGTTGTACCCATGGAATTTCCAGATTAGAATAGGTCCCCAGCAACCAAAGCTGGTCATACCCCATGAGATTTCCAGGTTAGAATAGGTCCCCAGCAACCTCAGCTGGTTGTACGCATGGGATTTCCAGATTAGAATAGGTCCCCAGCAACCAAAGCTGGTCATACCCCATGGGATTTGTGGTTAGAATAGGACCTCAGTAACCAAAGCTGGTTGTACCCCATGGGATTTCCAGATAAGAATAGGTCCCTAGCAACCTAAGCTGGTCCTACCCCATGGGATTTCCAGATTAGAATAGGTCCCCAGCAACTTAAGCTGGTCGTACCCCATGGGACTTCCAGATCACTGGTCGTACCCCATGGGATTTCCAGATTAGAATAGGTCCCAAGCAACATAAGCTGGTTGTACCTATTGAATATCCAGATTAGAATAGGTCCCCAGCAACCAAAGCTGGTTGTACCCCATGGGACTTCCAGATCAGAGTAGGTCCCCAGCAACCTAAGCTAGTTGTACCCCATGGGATTTCCAGATAAGAATAGGTCCCCAGCAACCTAAGCTGGTCGTACCCCATGGGATTTCCAGATTAGAATAGGTCCCAAGCAACATAAGCTGGTTGTACCTATGGAATTTCCAGATTAGAATAGGTCCCCAGCAACCTAAGCTGGTCGTACCCCATGGGATTTCCAGATTAGAATAGGTCCCCAGCAACATAAGCTGGTCGTATCCCATGGGATTTCCAGATCAGAATAGGCCCCCAGCAACCAAAGCTGGTCGTATCCCATGGGATTTCCAGATCAGAATAGGTCCCCAGCAACCAAAGCTGTTCGTATCCCATGGGATTTCCAGATCAGAATAGGTCCCCAGCAACCTTAGCTGGTCGTACCCCATGGGATTTCCAGATCAGAATAGGTCCCCAGCAACCTTAGCTGGTCTTATACCATGAGATTTCCAGATTAGAATAGGACCTCAGTAACCAAAGCTGATCGTACCCCATGGGATTTCCAGATCAGAATAGGTCCCCAGCAACCTAAGCTGGTCGTACCCCATGGGATTTCCAGATTAGAATAGGTCCCAAGCAACATAAGCTGGTTGTACCTATGGAATTTCCAGATTAGAATAGGTCCCCAGCAACCTAAGCTGGTCGTACCCCATGGGATTTCCAGATTAGAATAGGTCCCCAGCAACATAAGCTGGTCGTATCCATGGGATTTCCAGATCAGAATAGGTCCCCAGCAACCAAAGCTGGTCGTATCCCATGGGATTTCCAGATCAGAATAGGTCCCCAGCAACCAAAGCTGTTCGTATCCCATGGGATTTCCAGATCAGAATAGGTCCCCAGCAACCAAAGCTGGTCGTACCCCATGGGACTTCCAGATCAGAATAGGTCCCCAGCAACTTAAGCTGGTCGTACCCCATGGGATTTCCAGATTAGAATAGGTCCCAAGCAACCTAAGCTGGTCCTACCCCATGGGACTTCCAGATCAGAATAGGTCCCCAGCAACCTAAGCTGGTTGTACCCCATGGGATTTCCAGATAAGAATAGGTCCCCAGCAACCTAAGCTGGTCGTACCCCATGGGATTTCCAGATTAGAATAGGTCCCCAGCAACCTCAGCTGGTTGTACCCATGGAATTTCCAGATTAGAATAGGTCCCCAGCAACCAAAGCTGGTCATACCCCATGAGATTTCCAGGTTAGAATAGGTCCCCAGCAACCTCAGCTGGTTGTACGCATGGGATTTCCAGATTAGAATAGGTCCCCAGCAACCAAAGCTGGTCATACCCCATGGGATTTGTGGTTAGAATAGGACCTCAGTAACCAAAGCTGGTTGTACCCCATGGGATTTCCAGATAAGAATAGGTCCCTAGCAACCTAAGCTGGTCCTACCCCATGGGATTTCCAGATTAGAATAGGTCCCCAGCAACTTAAGCTGGTCGTACCCCATGGGACTTCCAGATCACTGGTCGTACCCCATGGGATTTCCAGATTAGAATAGGTCCCAAGCAACATAAGCTGGTTGTACCTATTGAATATCCAGATTAGAATAGGTCCCCAGCAACCAAAGCTGGTTGTACCCCATGGGACTTCCAGATCAGAGTAGGTCCCCAGCAACCTAAGCTAGTTGTACCCCATGGGATTTCCAGATAAGAATAGGTCCCCAGCAACCTAAGCTGGTCGTACCCCATGGGATTTCCAGATTAGAATAGGTCCCAAGCAACATAAGCTGGTTGTACCTATGGAATTTCCAGATTAGAATAGGTCCCCAGCAACCTAAGCTGGTCGTACCCCATGGGATTTCCAGATTAGAATAGGTCCCCAGCAACATAAGCTGGTCGTATCCCATGGGATTTCCAGATCAGAATAGGCCCCCAGCAACCAAAGCTGGTCGTATCCCATGGGATTTCCAGATCAGAATAGGTCCCCAGCAACCAAAGCTGTTCGTATCCCATGGGATTTCCAGATCAGAATAGGTCCCCAGCAACCAAAGCTGGTCATACCCCATGGGATTTCCAGATCAGAATAGGTCCCCAGCAACCTTAGCTGGTCTTATACCATGAGATTTCCAGATTAGAATAGGACCTCAGTAACCAAAGCTGATCGTACCCCATGGGATTTCCAGATCAGAATAGGTCCCCAGCAACCTAAGCTGGTCGTATCCCATGGGATTTCCAGATCAGAATAGGTCCCCAGCAACCTTAGCTGGTCGTATCCCATGAGATTTCCAGGTTAGAATAGGTCCCCAGCAACCTAAGCTGGTCGTATCCCATGGGATTTCCAGATTAGAATAGGTCCCCAGCAACCTAAGCTGGTCGTATCCCATGGGATTTCCAGGTTAGAATAGGTCCCCAGCAACCTAAGCTGGTCGTATCGCATGGGATTTCCTGGTTAGAATAGGTCCCCAGCAACCAAAGCTGGTCATACCCCATGGGATTTCCAGATTAGAATAGGTCCCCAGCAACCTAAGCTGGTCGTATCCCATGGGATTTCCAGGTTATAGTCAGTCCCCAGCAACCTAAGCTAGTCATAACAATAAGGTGGGGGGGGCTGATGTCATCGCTGTGGTCATCTCACAGATTCACAAAAACAACATTTAAACAAAATCAAGAAATGGTCCGAAACTGTCACTGCATTTGTGTGTATTTTTATGTGAGCTCTGTGCCTTGGTAAAGTGATATCTCAAAAGATCTGCAGTCTGGTAAAGAAGCTAATGTATTTATGTGACATATGATGTATATATCTATGACCAGCTGATATTGCGTTGTTTGTAGTGTTGTGCACTCAATGATGTCTACCATGTCTCTAGCATGTAGCTCGCACATCGTTTCAGTGTCATTATCACAACATGGGGGAGGTGTTCAGACCAAGCTTCACCGAAGCAAGTCAGTTAGATCATGATTATCATTATGAATAATTTGGCCAATTTGTTTCATTACCAGGACTACAGTAGAATGAATGGCTATGATGATGATGAGAGGCTTTCCTCTCCCCAGAGACACAGCACCCCCCCAGGATACGACACCCCGCGCCGTAGCCCCACCCCACGGCAGCAGTCCCGGGATCACTTCTCCCCAGTCCGATCCCCTGATGGCGTGGGAGATAGTCGAGAAGAAGAAGAGGCTGCCCTGAAGATCCAGTCCCATTTCCGCGGACACCAAGTCCGGAAAGAACTGAACAAGGATGAAGATTACAAGGATGAAGATTACAAGGATCCGGATCCTCGTGATGATTCGGATGATCGCAGGGATCAGGATTCTCATCGCGATGACTTGGATTTGTTGCAGCATGAGAGAGAGGCTGCAGCAACGAAGATCCAGGCCCACTACCGCGGATACCAAACACGTAAAAATAAATACGAGAGGAAAGTTAATAGTGTTATGTCTGCAGGAAGGAAGTCAGTAGCGAGCCAGTCGTCCCAGAGACGGAATTCCGACCATGGGCGGCAAGTAGCTGCCGCCACAACCATTCAGGCTGGATACCGGGGATACAGAGACCGGAAGATGTTGAAGGGAACTCGATAATATTGTTGATTTAGAGAGGTAGCTTCAGACTTTGATTACCATTTATGTATTGTACAGTTGGTGATGCATTGTTGGTGTTGAATGTTTGACATTCAGGCATGTACGTCTCATCATCTTATGTATCTCGTACAGTATACTTGTCCTGTGAACCGATTCAGAAGGTGACCTTTGTCTGTTGACTGATAGCATCTTAGACATTGGACAATATCTGTAGGCTTCCTTTAATGCAAAGATTTTATCAATTTGCTCAATGAATTAACCTATGGCCCGTCACACTTAACACATCAATAGGGATGAATCAATCATTAACATGTATTGGTAATTAAAAGAAAACTGTATACTTCTAATGAATCATGTTACATTGCGGGATACATAGATAACTCTGAGTGATATTGTCAAATATGTGTTAAAAAGTCTATCACTTTGATAAAAGTCAACAGGTTTAAGGTTGTTGGATAAAATGGCAGATTATGTATACATCACTTCTGATTGGTCAGTTAATTTTGTTGATTGACAGGTGGCGAGACGTTAATTGTTTTACCTTCTGTTTTCATATCTGTGCTCTCTTAAACAGAGTACTTCTCTCCCCTAGTGTATTAGCAGCTCGAGATGTTGTAGTAGTAGTGTGTTAGTGTAGAGTCAGCTGTGTGTCACACAGTAGGTGTAAGATACATGCATGAATACCACATTGCCTTTTCAGCTCACTCCCTGTGATAGATTTTCTCAGCTGTTCAGATAGAGAACTTTCAGTAAATAATATCAAAAGTGTCTTTAATGCATTGTCTTTAATGGGATTTTTTGTGTGTGTTTCAGGGACAGAAATAGACACGTGTTGATGACAGGGCAAGCTTCCCAGTCGAAACGAGAGGGGATTCCCAGTCAACAAGTCCCATATGTTATATTTTTAACAATGTGTCAAGTTTGTGCAAATCTGTAATTATTCATTGTACATCCAAGTTTTGCCTCATTTTAAAAAGAAATGAAACTTTTGTTATTAAGCTAAATTTGAAATGATTACCTGTATTTAACCAGATGTTATAGCCTCCGTTCTGTATTAAGTTGAATGTTGTTGATTGTTTTTGACATTTCTTAAATCAAAAAGCAAAGGCATTTCTTTAACTGGTATTGTGTTTTTAACTGACACATTTTATTTAAGGCTTAGTTTTTTTGTGTTTTTTTCTCTTTTGTTGATAAAAAAAAAATTTGAATAGGAAGTAAAGCCATTGATTTTGTTTATGAATTATTTTGATGTTATTTGATGATGATAAAAGTACTTATGGGTTTGAGTAAGCTGTATAATAACATGTTTATCATTCAGTCAGATGTGTATAAAAGTTGTCATATATTTGTCTATTGTACTCGACCAACTGTGATACCAATATTTACAAACTGTTATGCATACATAGCTTTGCACATCTGCACTGTGATTGGTTGAAACTATTTTATTTGATCTGTAAACATTAATTGTTCTGCAGTGAGTCACATAATCCTACCGTCCTCTATTTACTTGAAAAATGCTCACAACCCATAGGCCTTATGTATGGTTTACATCATATAACATGTATTCTACGAATATTGTGATTTTATATGCAGATATGGTCAGATATTTTCAATTTGGAAAAATAAACCTAGCCGATTTATGTGAACCTGCTACAACGTATGTCGCGCCATGAGCATTAACTCGGTGGAATCTGGCGCATTTTAAATAGGCTTATTATTAAAAAATACATGAAGTTTCTTATTGTTTCCTGAAACACGTAATATGTGATTTCAAGAACTATTCAAAGGGCCTCGTCAGCAAATTTGTGGTTAACGAAATTAGGCATTTATCACGATTATTTTTTTGTTAATCTCAGGAAATCAATCCAGACATATGTATTTTTATTAATTATAACAATTTTGTAAAAATATGTGAACTGGAAAGTTTTATGCCGTAGTTTGAAACATTTAAATCTCAAACTAATGACACATGGCCCATCCAAGCTTTTGTTTGTCGTGATAATCTAATGTGACATGATAGTTTTGTCGTTGTTAAGTTCAGTTGTCAAGTAGTACATAGTTTGTACATATGGCTTAGTATTAATTTCTCTTGTGGCTGTTTTACTTTTTCCAGAAGAACTTGAAGTCATTATGTGTCATAGATGATAAACAGTGAATCTTGTCATAAAAACTAGAATTGTTTCGAAACGTAACCAGGGTATATCGATGTACCTAATGAAAGGTTTATTTGATTTGTCAATATTAATTTTGTACAAATCGACCCACCTAGACCTTCTCTCAATACATTCCAAAACAGCAGCCACAAGTACATGTACACCTAATTTGCAAAATATGCTGGTTCAGCAAGTTGTATATATGGCCGATATACATGTGGTCCGCTGAATTATGCTGTGTTTTATTGTCTGTGATACTTTTACTTTTATTTCAGTATTTATTTGTGGTTGTACAAGCATCTATATATTGTTTTGTTTCTGTTCATACCAATTATCAAATGAAAAGTATTACACTATCATATCCGTCCATTTCCCAGCTTTCCGTCCAAATCAAGACTTTTCCTGCCAAATATGTATATGCAATCTGTAAACCTGCAAAAAATCAGTCAAGGTTACTATGATGCACCAACAAATGTTTCCAATCTGGACTTAAATGTTTTGAACCAACTGATTCGTAGCCAAAAACTGTCTTGTCTTTTCAGTCAAAATCACCAGCATTTATGGCAGCAGAACACTGTTTCTATTTCAACTTGGTTTTCAATACTTTTGACCTTTTTTTTAGAAAGAAATTTGTGTAATGACCTGCTATGAGTATCCTGGCAAGGATATCTATCTTGTAAACGTTTCCTGTGACCTAAAATAAGATCTAAATTCTGTCTGGTTCTGCTCTTAAGTTGATGTATGTTTGAGTCTGTCTTGTGTTTGTTAACTAACCTGGTGTTTGGGACATACTAACGTGACAAAGTAGCTATGTTGACTATGTAGTACACAGTGTACAGGTGTAATTGCTCTGCCTAACACATGATGTATTTCCACTAATGTCTACAGTGTGTAGATCACTGTTAAACACTTGTGTTGCACACCTCAGTAATGTAGGGTCCATTAATGTAAAACTTGGGTCCCTGTGCAAAACATTTTGATAGCCAATAAATTGTCTTCACAAAAATGTTTTTTGTATAGTTATTGATGTAATAAGTCATCAAATAGATGGAAGAGTTCATTGTACAGACAGCATACCTCTTCATACCTCCTAGATGCGGAATATCTCATCTTATAGACAGAATGCCTTATACATGATGTACTTCATACAAATGCAGGACTTCATCATACTCATGGAATACTCTGTGGCTGCTTGTACTTGTCCAACTGATGCGGATTGTGCTAGCCAACTGAGATACCATGCCGCAGTTAAACATGAATACCCCACTCAGACACAGTAAACTGTCTCCAAGCCAACCAGTCCTTGTTTTAGCCCCTTCATGCCAAGCGCCAGACAGGGTAACAACAAATACCATCATTTAACCCTCTTTGGTATGATGCGGGCGGGGATCGGACCATGGACCTTCCCCTCTCCAGGCGGACGCTCTACCACTAGACCACATAGGCAGTCACAGAGTTATGAGCCTAAGGTGACTACGAAGGGTATATTGTATACATCTTAATGTTTTCAGGTATTAGGTAAATACCATCCATGCATTTAATCCAGATACACAACCAGGCAGTAGATCCCTGCAGGCGTCACAGTGACTAGGTATTCTCTTTTGATCAAAATGGACAACATTGACTACTGTTTGGTCATGGATTATCTCCAACTGAAAGGGCTTTCTTTAACAGCCATCCATGCAGACATTGTGAACTTTGACAAAATGTCAAAATATATGATCTGATTATGGACTCATCAGACGTCACATGGCTAATACAGTAGGCATCTCTCATGGGAGAGTTGAGGACGTTCTGAGGAATGAACTGGACATGATAAAGGTTTCAAAACGCTTCTGACAACTGTTCAGTAGCACTCCAAGTTCAACATCTCTCATGAAAATTTTCATAATTTTGAAGCAGGCCCTGAGACGTTTAACCAAAGATAAGGCTTGGTGCACCGATATCACCAGAGACTAAACAACAACAGTGAAAACATCAAACGTCTTGTCTGAAGACGTAGGCAAAGTCTGTTTCACACTGAATACTGAATACACACTGAATACCTCATACACATGGAATATTTCATCAAACACATGGAATTTCTCACCATACACATGAATTGCAAAATAACTCAAAATGGAGAAGTCTATTAAACGTCAATACGGTACACGGCAATGAATACCTTGTACCCAACAATATCGGTTGTTTGTTATTTTTATGTTTAAGAAACTATCATGTTGTTATTTGTACAAGTTGACATCTGCACAATGGTCGGAGGAACAGCGCAAACACGTACTTCACGTGCTACATAGCATACGTCGTTGTTGACTGACAAGATGCGCTACTCAGCTGATGTGAAACAGTTGATCTTTGAGGTGTATGATTTCTTTCAATGTGAAGCAGAAAGAGGAAACCCATTTTATGCCATTAATAAATAACCAAACAAGCTTCTAAAGCTCTTGGTTATGTCTCCCTAGCAAGCAGGAAAATGTCCGTCGACGGGACGCAGGCAATCAGACAAAGCAGGTGGGGAACATATCAAAATCATGTAGGGCTGATAAATTAGACAGTTTTCAGAAAAATCAAGTCAGACGTGCAATTGTTAAACTATTTAGAAAATAAGTGCATGTCACTCAGACTCTAGACGAACAAATACCTTGGAACTGAACAGGATTTAATTGTTACACAATACGAGCTTTGGCAACTTTTGCATACATTGGATACAGATACAAAAAGATAAGTGGTGAACATAGGGCTGTGTAATGTGAACGATCTGACATCCTTCGTCTCCGAAATCGTTACCTGGAACCATCAAGCAGAAACAAGGAGAAGGATATGAGCCTGTTTTCCTCCCACAGCCATCAGTCAGTGGGTACCCAGTGAGGACCGTAAGGAATCTGGAGAAAAGTTACCGATGGGAAAAGGTGAAAGACTTATCGTTGTCAATGCTGGTTGTGCTAGTAAGGGTTTTCACATTGGCTGTGACCTCGCCTTTCCAGTCAAGACCAAAGAGAACTAGGACTACCACACAGAAATGACCGGCAAGGTATTTCTGGAATGGGAGAAAAATAAATTGGCCCCTGCTTTGCCTGCCAAGTCCAAGTGGACAATGCACCATATCACAGTATGCAGGATACAGACAGCAAGACACCGACGTCTGATAGCCTAAAGGAGGCATGGTGACGTGGCTGCAAGGGATGAATATGACCTTTCATTCAAGGGCTACAAAGCCAGAAACCAGGAAATCTATGAAATCATCAAATCTAACAAACCTGAGCCCGTGTATATGGTTGACAATAATTACATCAAAGATCAAGGTCACGCCGTCTTGCGACTTCCCCCTTACCACTGCGATCTGAACCCAATAGAGTTGATATGGGGTATCGTCAAAGGTGATGTGGACGATTGAACAAAACGTTTAAATTGCGGGATGTTGAAAAGCTAGTAAATGAATCCCTTGGTCGGGTGACAGTGGTAACACGGCAGCGTTGCGTTACCAAAGTCGTCAACGAGATGGAGTCAAGATACTGGTCACGTGATGGACGTCAGCAAGCAAAAGTCCCACCAATAGTTGTGACCATCAGCAGTGACACCAGCAATTCCGACGGCGAGGGCTCCGACATGAGTGAGTGACATTGCGATTAAATTATCATGAGACGACCCCTCTCATGCTGTCATTCCCTGTACCGTTGCATGTGTATCACGTGCAGTACGTGTTCGGGCTGTTCCTCCTACCGTTGCGCACACCTCCGTTCAAGATGTCATCTTGTACACATAACAACATGATAGTTTCTTAAACAATCATGTTGTTCGGGTGTCAGTCGTGGCATTTCTGTTGTGCGTGTTTCTTTTAGCAATCTGAGCGTCTGGCATGCGTCGGTATCATTTATATACACTTATTGCATGTGCATTGTCGTTTGCCCAAGAGGCGCGTTTTTCACATTTTCTACCAAAAGAAAACGTGCGGTGGATGTGTATCCCTTTCTGCATAAAGCATTGTGTATGGACGATGTGGTTTGCATTGATAAATTTTGTACTGGTTTTTAACTTTGTTTTTAAAGTGGTAAAGTTTCTTTTGGCCGTCAGTTTACCTTTATTAAGATGTAGTGTTATTGAAAAGAACAGTCAAAGGTCAACATCAGTATCCAGCATGTTTAGGTATTTGAAAAACATGTTGGTTAGTGATATTTCTAAGACAATTACTACTTTCAGTCATTAAACTTAAACTCTATGTCGCTTTAAATAAGTTAAGTAGTCTATCAAATAGGATGTCATTAGCATGTTTCCAGTGGTGGACATGGGGATGCTTAGACTCTTACTGTAACTGTGAACAATCCCACATCCCATTCATGGTGAAGGTCACTGTCGACCAAGTCATAGTTCTGTAATGTGAATGCTGGTATGGTTTACTGCATGAACTGGATATTGTTACAGCTGTAGTGGGTGATTGGTTGTGGTCGCATTGATTTGCAGATGTATTTCATTATATAATTTAATGCAGCCTTTTGGTCACTTCCTGTTTCAGGGGGAATTAGGGGTGTTTGAAAGTACCTGAAAAACAGAAGCAGTCCCTTCACCATTTTCTCAAGGTCAAAAGTCTTAAAATACAAAAACTTTGCATCCAGACTTTGACCTTAATCAAGACAAATTCCTTAGATCCAATGATGGCCAAGTCTGAGGATCGTACAAGTACAATTGCAAGTACATTGGCAAATAATGATACCAGTGTATTTTGCAAAAGCCTCAATGATGACCTTGACCTTTGATGTGGAATTATTTGTAAATATCCGTGCAATATAAAGATTCATGGCTGAAGATGTTACCCAGCCTCAGATACTGACAATGATATGATCATGTTTCATAGAAACGTGAACACTCACCTTTGACCCTAAGTTTTTACAGCCAGGCCAAATCCAAGCAAAGGTGTTACATGCATTTAAAAGTTTTGAGAAAGTAACAATGTTTTGTGAGATTGTTCTATTTCATGACCTTGACCTCACTTACTGTGCCAAAAGTTGCCCCATGGGTCATTTGAAGGTGAAAGTTCAAGAATGGAAACAACAATGTTCAAAATAAAGCAATTGCACGATATCAAAGATTCAATCAGGTTTATTAAAGAAATAGAAAGGTATTTTTAAAAAAAAATCACATCCATAAATCCTTTGGATATACAGCCTTACTGAATGCTTTAATAGGATAGGTCACATGTTTTAAAGCATTTGAATCAAGGCGCTCGGACGAAACTGTCAGCAGTTGACTTCTCCGGGCCTTATCAAGGTGGGGTGAAATGGGGTTTAAGGTAAATGCAGTTATATTGCACGTGTGTCTGTGCGTACTTGTACTCGTCTGAACAAATGGCAATTCATAGTGCTTACCCACTGAGATAACCACGTTATAATGTGTCCCCCAGAGTGGTATACACCTAACGAGGGACGCATAAAACATGTACCCGACGTGATACAGCTACGTGAATTTATCTTACCCACTGAGATAACCACGTTATAATGCGTCCCCCAGAGTGGTATACACCCAACGAGGGACGCATAAAACAACATGTACCCCACGTGATACAGCTACATGAATTTATCTTACCCACTGAGATAACCACGTTATAATGCGTCCCCCAGAGTGGTATACACCTAACGAGGGACGCATAAAACATGTACCCCACGTGATACAGCTACATGAATTTATCTTACCCACTGAGATAACCATGTTATAATGCGTCCCCCAGAGTGGTATACACCTAACGAGGGACGCATAAAACATGTACCCCACGTGATACAGCTACATGAATTTATCGTACCCACTGAGATAACCATGTTATAATGCGTCCCCCAGAGTGGTATAAACCTAACGAGGGACGCATAAAACAACATGTACCCCACGTGATACAGCTACATGAATTTATCTTACCCACTGAGATAACCACGTTATAATGCGTCCCCCAGAGTGGTATAAACCTAACGAGGGACGCATAAAACAACATGTACCCCACGTGATACAGCTACATGAATTTATCTTACCCACTGAGATAACCACGTTATAATGCGTCCCCCAGAGTTGTATAAACCTAACGAGGGACGCATACAACAACATGTACCCCACGTGATACAGCTACATGAATTTATCTTACCCACTGAGATAACCATGTTATAATGCGTCCCCCAGAGTGGTATACACATAACGAGGGACGCATAAAACATGTACCCCACGTGATACAGCTACATGAATTTATCTTACCCACTGAGATAACCACGTTATAATGCGTCCCCCAGAGTGGTATACACCTAACGAGGGACGCACAAAACAACATGTACCCCACGTGATACAGCTACATGAATTTATCTTACCCACATGTTTTAGTGTGACATTGTAAAAGTATTACTAAAGGTGGTGAGGGGAAATGGGGTTTAAAGTCACGTCCAAGGTTATTGCACTTATATAGCGACGCGCATGCACGTGTGTGTGTGCTAGTGCTATAGTCCAGACTGATGCCAATATATACTGCTAGCACACTGAGATACTATGCCGCAGTTAAACATGAACACCCCACGCAGACACCACATACCGACTCTGAGCCAACCCGTCCCGAGTTTATCCCCTGAATGGATCCAACCACGGACATTCCAATTCTCTGGATTAACACCATCCACTGGACCACGGAGCCGTCCCTCATCAAGACATGTCTGGAGGAAGAGATTCTGTGCATGTCATCACCACTGACCAACTTTTTAAAAGTTGACATCAACATGATCTAGAATCAACTAAAATGTCTTCATAAATGTATTTGTAGAAAATAACTGAGCTACAAGGAATTAGGGATTGTCTGTTCCAGTGAATGGAATGAATGGAATGAATGGAGTTAATCCCATTATTGGAAAGGTATTAGCCATAAGGTTGGACTGCGTGTAATATTCTTTTTTCAATCCCATGACAGGCTTATCCTGGCACTCTGCCACTGGGTCGTTAGTGCACCATTTCAGGCAGGTTGAATTGATTGGAGGAGATGCCCGACTTTACAGCAATATGAGCAAGCTGGTGGTGTGAGCAGACTTGAGCAGGCAACCCGAGGTTGATAGTGTGAGCAGACTTGAGCAGGCAACCCGAGGTTGATAGTGTGAGCAGACTTGAGCAGGCAACCCGAGGTTGATAGTGTGAGCAGACTTGAGCAGGCAACCCGAGGTTGATAGTGTGAGCAGACTTGAGCAGGCAACCCGAGGTTGATAGTGTGAGCAGACTTGAGGAGGCAACCTGAGGTTGATAACGTGAGAACTTCACGATTTTTGACAATTTACTAGTTGACAGTAAACTTTTACTCATAGTATTATCAAACACTATGGCCATCTAATCCCCATCAATATGAGAGACCACTCAAGATGCCACTTCCATTACAGAATGTAACCGTTGATTTCAGGAAAGTAGGTCCCCAGCAACCTGTCTGGTTTATGCTCAATTAAAGCTCTTGATACTACTGTCAAACCCATTCAACAGTGTGTCACTAGCTGTTTTGCTACTGTCGAACACATTCAACAGAGTGTGTCACTAGCTGTTTTGCTACTGTCGAACCCATTCAACAGTGTCACTAGCTGTTTTGCTACTGTCGAACACATTCAACAGAGTGTGTCACTAGCTGTTTTGCTACTGTTGAACCCATTCAACAGTGTCACTAGCTGTTTTGCTATTGTCGAACCCATTCAACAGTGTCACTACCTGTTTTGCTACTGTCGAACACATTCAACAGTGTGTCACTAGCTGTTTTGCTACTGTCGAACCCATTCAACAGAGTGTCACTAGCTGTTTTGCTACTGTCGAACACATTCAACAGTGTGTCACTAGCTGTTTTGCTATTGTCGAACCAATTCAACAGAGTGTCACTAGCTGTTTTGCTACTGTCGAACCCATTCAACAGTGTCACTAGCTGTTTTGCTACTGTTGAACACATTCAACAGAGTGTGTCACTAGCTGTTTTGCTATTGTCGAACCAATTCAACAGAGTGTCACTAGCTGTTTTGCTGCTGTCGAACACATTCGATATGGTCCAGGCTCAATTAAAGCTCTGAATACTACTGTCGAACCCATTCGACAGTGTCACTAGCAGTGGTGCTACAGTTGAACACATTCAACAGGCACATAGCATAATGACACCTACAAATAAAACTTGCAATAACTATTTTCCAAGTAGGCTTTACATATCATTTAAATTATGCATAGTATGCATATATGCTCAGCTTTCTAAATATAAAAACTTTTACTTATCTTAACCTCTTTATGTTTGAAAATGTCAGGATATTTTTAAATGACGATGTGCATTTTTCAATCAGGTATTAATGTGCAAAATATTGGTTCAAATGTCCCTTGTTTAATGAAGCATCGGCTCTCTGAAATCCCCCACCCTCTTTACAACGCCTTATGCTGAAATAATCCAGCAGCCAGGGGATGGAGTCCTTGCATAAAAGCGCACTATACTATAGCTATATTACAACTGTCTGTAAATAATCAAGTCTGGACCAGACAATCCAGTGATTGAAATCATGAGCATCGATCTACGCAATTGGGATACGATGACATGCAAGTCAGCAAGCATGACTGCCCAATCACGTAATTCGCCTCTTACGGCAAGCACAGTCGCCTTTTACGGCGCGCATTGGTTGCTGAAGACCTGTTCTATCCCGGATCTTCACGGGTCGCGCACTGTAGTGAACATTCAAAGGGCACCAAGAGCCCCATAACTTCTAAGACTGCTCTACCATCAGAATAGCAACAACAGACAATAAGGAGGTTTTAGAATTTTATTCACCTCATTCAGTAACACACTGTATGACTCGCACCGATACATCTCCCTCAACTGTGGAGAAATACAGCAGTGTGCTAGCACTTAATTAACACAGCACTTTATGTGGTTCACTGGTCACATAAATACAACAGCCCAGCTTTATAACAAAAGTAGATCTCAGTTTATTTAATGACACTCGAAAGTCATTTTTGTTAAAGAAATATTTTTGTGTGAGATGTTCAGTAGAAAACAACCTTAAGTCCCAAGCCCTGACCGGAATGCTTGATAAATATACCAAGATAATACAAGTCATTTCAAGTACTTCTAACTATCTCACAAGTGGGATTCCAGCCCTTACGCGAAGCAGCTCTTTGTTATTTGATCGCATGGTAATAGATGAAAAATATAAAATACACTAAACAATTTCTCAGACGCTCGTCAAGCACTTGCTACTGTGTTAAACAACAGTCTCACACGCAGTCATGACAGTCAATTCATTTCTCAAGGTAGCTGACATCCTCCCAAAATCAGATCCCTGGAATTTATTGAAATGTGTATGAAAATCTGGAGACCTACATCTTTCAGATGAGTTTCATCAGATCCTGGGAATGCGACAGCTACCTCAATCTTGACTATGAATTGGCCGATTTCTAAATGTACATGATGTCAACAACCTATAGACTACATTATTCTTCATAATCTTCACGAATTTTAGTTAAAAGGGCATCACAGGTCTTCTTAGCGTCGCCTAGCAACATGCCTGAGTTTTCCTTGAAGAAGATTGGGTTATCTACCGCTGCATATCCGACACCCAGGGTTCTCTTCATCACAACAACCTGAAAAGTAAAGTCTCGTCGAGAGAGCTGACACACAATCAAACCCGGTTCTTGTAGGCAATTAATAACTAGAATATCTGTATATATTCTCAATTTAATACTTAGCCTGCATTACATGATGCCTATTGTTTTTTCAGGTCGAACTATCCATGGAAAGAAGACTTAGAGGACTGTATTCTTGATATAAAAAAAGTTGTTGAACCAGTAGTATCCCAATGATCACTCCCTGGAGTTACCTCCCATACCCCTGTGTGATCATTTGTGGAAAGCAACAATATGCATAATGTAATGCAGGCTAAGTAACAATAATAATGTTTTGCCAATTAAAACAGAATAGCATTTGTCTGAGGTGAAGTAAGATGAGGTGAAATGGGGCTTAACATCGCTTTCAAGGTTATTTCACTTTTGTAGCGACATGCATTGCTGCGTGCAGGAACTAGCCCACTGCGATACCATGCTGGTATCAGAACTCGTGCAGAATTTTGCATTTTTCTGCTGAAGTAATTTGACAAAAACACTGCAGAATTGTAACATTCAGGTCAAAAGTTCTGCTTAATAACCCACCAGTAATACCTACATGAATGAAGTTGCTCATCCATAACAATTTTGTCTTAGTTTACCATTCCAACTTCTAAATGGCACTCAAAGAAGTAACACTCATGTAGGTATTACTGGTGAGTTACATCAGTGTTGTTTGACACAGCAGTAAGCTATATTTCAGCTACATCAAGGCATCCTGTGGAGTCTGGACAAGATAATCTAAGGGTTGTTATCATGATCAAACTTTGATGGCAAGTCACTAAGCTAGAACCAACCAATCCATTTAAATCACTTCTAACAACAAATACATGCTATTCGGACCTGGTCTACCTGGGAATCGACACTGGTCACAACATGAGGGATGACAAGCAACCACATACCTGCTTGGATAGCCACACTCTCAGCACAGGCATCCCTGCGATGATGGAGTTGGGGTCCTCCTCGGCCGCAGAGTTGACGGTGTCGTTGGCGCCAATGACCATCACAAGGTCGGTGTCTTTGAAGTCTTCATTGATTTCATCCATCTCCAACACAATGTCATAGGGCACACCCGCCTCAGCTAGCAGCACGTTCAGCTGACCAGGCATACGCCCTGAACAGAGAACACCAGTCACAAACATCCACTTAATTACAGTAAATATCTCACACCTTAAAAATATGTTAATATTTCTAAACTACTATTGTTCAAGGGCATGTTGACACGCTATCAAACAAGTCACCGAGCTGGGCTACTTGATCCAGGCACTTGCCTTGAACGACCAGCAAAGGTTGAAGACCAGTTCTACCGTGGAATCCCCATATGTACTGGACAATAGGGCTGTTACAATTCACTCGCTTATTCGGAGAATCGAACCGTGGCCACTAGAATCGAATATTTATGTATATGCAAGCATGTGCATTTACATAAAAATATCCATAAGAACATATTATATGCAAGGATTTCTTCAAAAGACAATACTCTTATACTCGCCTCTTACGACAAGCATAGTCGCCTTTTACGGCGCGCATTGGTTGCTGAAGACCTGTTCTATCCCGGATCTTCACCGGACGCGCACTGTAGTGAACATTGAAAGGACACCAAGAGCCCCATAATTTCTAACACTGCTCTACCATCAGACTAGCAGCAACAGACAGTAAGGAGGTTTTAGAACATCACTCTTATACTATTTAATTTGACAGTTTTGTGCTCACTGATCATTGTCACATTTGAGCAGATACAAGAACCTGTGTAAGTGCATTATATCAATGTATAATATATTAATCATTAACAAACCATGTCAAATAATTTATGTTGTTAATGTTTCACTGAATATAACAAATAATACATCAGCTTCTGACTTTTTATTGTATTCTTGAATTAATATTCGTACTCGTTGCCCTATATTCGTGATACAAATCGTATTCGCCTCATAGTGTATTCGATGCAGCCTTACTGGACAAGTGTTCATTGTAAGTGGCTTGTCTATCTGGCCAGCATATAATAATGACTGGCCACAGTGTGGACTCAATATCATTTGATCTGAATAAACATGAAGTCCTGCCGTGCAAAAGGTAGGCAACTATGTACAGCAAATTGTAGAGCAAATGAATCATTCAAAATTAAGTTCTTCAGCAAGAAAGGAAATCAAAATAACTAAGTTGCCACGAACAACGTGGTTTAGAAATTAAAGAGCACTTCTTGGCAACAATGACGCTGCCACACAAACACTCACCAGCAACAGGGTGGATTCCGAAGCGTACGTTATGTCCCTTCTTCTTAAGCAATGTCACCATCTCAGCGATGGGGTACTGTGCCTTGGCCACACACAAGCCGTAGCCAGGAGTGATAATGATGTTCTTGGCCTCGCGGATCATTTCGACTGTTTGGTCAACATTCACCTCTGTGTGAGTTCCGGTGATTTCCATGGGTTTGCCTCTCCCGGTAGAGCTGGTTCCGTAGCCACCCAGAATAACATTGGGAAGGGACCGGTTCATGGCCTGAAACATCACAATACCTAGTTTGACAAGCAGTGTTGGAAATAATTATAAAACCCAAAAAGGCAGTCGGGCAGGTTTCACATAAATGTTGCCTGCCCATCTTCTAAGTTACCTGACCAATTTAAGCATAGGTTACACAAAGATAGAGTTACCTCCCTTCATCCACTAACAATGGATCGTTGACAACAATATGAAAATAATCGTGAAAAATAAGAGACAGCTCATGTCTTGTTTCAGTTGAAATAATGCAAACAATTACATGAGAATCTATGACAGATCGGGCAGGTGGACAAAAATTTCATGCAGCCTGATAGAAAAGTTACCATCCGAGGGCAGACAGGCAGTTATTTCGGACACTGTAGACAAGTACCTCAGTCTAAAAAAATTATAATAGTCTTGGTTCTCAAGCACCGCCCACATCATTATAAAGTCTACGGCACGTTTCATTTTTATTTCCTTTTTAAAACAAATAAAAAAATATTCCGCATCTCGAACACAGAATCCCGGCAGTGAAATGCGACAATACTTTAAAAAACTGTAATCCAAAAAAGCATGCAGTTACTTCCCTTTACATGCTTTACATACACACTGCTACTACACAAGAATCTACTGGCAAGAGTGTATATACAGTGAGTGAGTGAGTGAGTAAGTATGGTTTTACGCAGGTTTTAGCAATATTCCAGCAATATCACGGCGGGGGACACCAGAAATGGGCTTCACACATTGTACCCATGTCGGGAATCGAACCCGGGTCTTCGGCGTGGCGAGCAAACGCTTTAACCACTAGGCTACCCGACCGCCCCGCATACAGTGAGTGAGAGAGTGAGTTGGGTTTAATGCCGCTTTTAACAGTATTCCAGTTATATCACGGCATGTCAGCTTAATGTGGGAGGAAAGCCCAAAGTGATGCAGGTCCCAGACGTTTACCACTTCGGTGAAACCCACGAGCATGGGTATGGTGCTGACAAACCTAGAAACATAATTGGGACGAACCGGGATTCGAACCCACAATCATAGATTTCTGGCGTGCCCAAGGGACGCAACTCTGCACAGCGAATCGTGGCGCCTTAGACGACTAGGCCACCTGTGCCCCCAGAGTGTATACAGACTATTGACAGTGGGCAGTATGACGGTGTAACTAACAGCAGGTGCCCTCTGCCACTTCTGCTGGCCATGTTAGGTACACTTGATGCTCCCTCACCTTGCACATGATGTAGGACAGGATGGCACCAGATGAACCGATCAAGGCACCGACGATTGTCATTAGATTGTTGTCCATCATGAAGCCTTCGGCACACAGCGCCCAGCCGGAGTAGCTGTTCAGCACCGTGATCACCACTGGCATGTCAGCTCCTAGGAACAACACACATGGAATCAAGTTTCGTAGCAATAGCATTCCTGGAAGTGTTACTTGATCAACTATGTTTATACACAGTAACTCCCTGTGTGGCGTGGCGTGGCGTGGCGTGGCGTGGCGTGTCAGTTACAGTCTGTACGTGTGGTGTGGTGCTGTGTTGTGTCAGTAACAGTCTGTACGTGTGGTGTGGTGCTGTGTTGTGTCAGTAACAGTCTGTACGTGTGGTGTGGTGCTGTGTTGTGTCAGTAACAGTCTGTACGTGTGGTGTGGTGCTGTGTTGTGTCAGTAACAGTCTGTACGTGTGGTGTGGTGCTGTGTTGTGTAGTAACAGTCTGTACGTGTGGTGTGGTGCTGTGTTGTGTCAGTAACAGTCTGTACGTGTGGTGTGGTGCTGTGTTGTGTCAGTAACAGTCTGTACGTGTGGTGTGGTGCTGTGTTGTGTCAGTAACAGTCTGTACGTGTGGTGTGGTGCTGTGTTGTGTCAGTAACAGTCTGTATGAAGTGGAATGGTGCGGAATGGTGTGGCGTGGTGTGGCGTTTGCGTGGCGTGGCGTGGCGTGGCATCACTACAGTCTGTATGAGTGGCGTGGCGTGGCGTGGCGTGGCATGGCGTGGTGTGGCGTCAGTAACAGTCTGTATGAGTGGCGTGGTGTGTCGTGGCGTTGCATCACTACAGTCTGTATGAGTGGTGTTACCTCCAATGGCAGCAGTGAGAGTGACGCCCATCAAACTGGAGAGGGCTGTGGTGGTCCCAAGCATGGAGAGGCCCACAGCACTGCTGGGGCTGTACATGAAGTAGCCCATGGCGCCTACGTTGCCAAGCATCATACTCATGTTCAGCATGTTGCGGCCGGGCAAGAGTAGTGGGTCCGACTTGAGGACTCCTGGGTGGTAAAAATAAACGTAACATAAAACATCAACACAAACAGTCTCATTTCAGAAGTTGGTTGTCATATGGGATAATAGCCACATAATTACCTGAAAGTGGGAAATAATTATTTCTGTTCTAAGTGAAGGTTGGTCAAGTGAGTTTTCTGATTCTACTTGTGACAAATACTGCCAGCATCCCACTTTAATCTTTTGTGAATCAAAGAACTGAAGGGAAGGTTTCATTTTGACCAAGAGTCATCAGAAGATGAAAACTGCCCCCCATTCCACCCAAATTCGAAAGAGTGTGTGAGTGAGTGAGTGAGTATTGTATTACGCCGCTTTTAGCAATATTTCAGCAATATCATGGCAGGGGACACCAGAAATGGGCTTAACACATTGTACCAATGTTGGGAATCGAACCAAGGTCTTCGGCATGACGAGTGAACGCTTTAACCACTAGGCTACCTGACTGCCCCCAAATTCGAAAGAACAAAAAACTGACTGTCAAGTCCAACTTGATGAGAGAATTTCTATCTAATCTGTCTGTCCCTATACATGAGAAGTTACTTAGCTATCAATACAATGGAATTATGATTCAGAACTTTGTACTTCAACGCAGGTACACACCATTAGGAACAGAATCAAAGTCAAACTTGTTGCCATGGAAACAGAAAAAATATCAAATTCTCCCTGAGTAGGAAACGGCAGAAGTTGACAACCTGGTCTTTGTGTGTGCAGTTTCATGAAAGAGTACCGATTATTTTTAGAGGCATGGTCTGGACAAACACACCATAATGAACAGCTTTGTTGTCATAGAAATGGAATATGGAAAAATTCTAAACACCCCTACGAAGCAAAGGCACCATTTGACAGACTGGTCTTTGTGTGTGCGAAGTGTTATGAAGGTAAACCTATTAGTTTTAAAGGTATAGTCCAGACAAACACAAAACTATGAAAAGAGTCAAAGTCAAACTTGTTGCCATGGAAACAGGAAAGAAATTTACAAATAAATAAATTCCTAAATAGCAAAAGTCACAAGTTTTGATGAAAATTTGAATAGTTTTTTCGTTCTGCTCCGGAAATGACACCTACCTCTGTTTCAGCTAAGTCTTACTTGTTTCCATTGAAACAGGGAAAAATCAAATGTTGAAAAATTCCTTAATAGAAACAGGCACCACTTCAGCTCTTGGTTAATACTTGTACCAGGTTTGGATGAAAAGTCTTTCACAGTTTTCAAGTTGTGCTCCAGAAACAACACTGTTAGGTTCAAGAGTTCTCATTATTGTGCATAGCATTGTCCTGTTTTGAGTCATTGTTTATCTTCTGTTATAGGCACTATTACAAGTTAATTTGTGTATAACATTTGTGTTTACGTGAGTAACAACTTAATAGGAATTAAGGAATTATGTTTAATTTGCCGTAAATTACCGTAAGGTGTATTTTGATGACGGACTGCACAGACTGACATCCCAGGTTACTGGGCCGCGCTATTTTATGATCATGATGTCATCGATATTTGTGTTCCCTCAGTTGCATTACAATTATTGCATAAAGTGCCGTATTTTGAGTTCCTTTACTTCAGTCAGTTTCTTAATTTATTATATTAGTTGTATGCTTTGTGTCATAATATAATGTCAAGGTGAATATTCGTTCAATGACCAGCTGTGACATCACGCTTTGTTTAGTGTTAGAGACAATCAGCTGGTTGTGACGTCTTTGTTGCTTTTACGGTTAGATCGAGATGAGCGGTGAATGCAGGCAGTCGCTTTGTATTGTGAGTATGTCTTAACACGCTGCCACAAACCTATCTTTGGCGCTGTTTTAGATACATTATATAATTATTAAGTAATATAGTATATATCTTTATTAATATATATACTTGCTAAATTGAGTGTTTGATAATGTAACATGTAAATAAATTGATAGTATTATTGTTGAACAAAGATATCCTGTTCTGTGATTATTTGGAAAATGCAAACTGTGACATGTCCAAACTAGTGAGCCCCCCCAGATCCATCACAAACACCTGCCCTCCCTTTACAGATTTAGTCTAAATTGTTTCCATGGAAATCGAGAAAAATAAAAATGCCAAAAGTCTGCAAATCTCAAAAGGCAGTACTTCAGGATCTGTTGTGTTGTGTTGAAAGATATTGAATGTTTTTTGAGTTACGCTCAGGAAACAAAATGATAACAGAGAGATAGACGAGGCGTCGACTATCCCCTCTGGTTTAATTTTGATAGGATGGCTCGGATCAAAAGGTCAGAAAATATTCCCCAACCATTCACAAGGTGTGATAATTTGACAGTGACGTGTAACTGGGCTTGGTCACATGACTCCTGTGCACATGCGCAGTCCAGGGGTGCATTCATGCAAGATGTTTTCTGTTCTCCGGGAACACAGTTCAGGAAGTTCCCACTACCTTTCAGAAATGAGTAGAGACTTTGCCGATGTCTATGAAAATTTAGCCTTTGTGATGTTTTGGGTGGATTGGCATCATTTTCTTACGAATTAAGGAACAAATCATATTTTTTTGTTTTACAAATTCATAACAAATAAGAAAAAATTGGGGCAGTTGGCAGCTATGCAATGGCAAACAACTGGGACAGTCTCTCTCTAGAGAAAATAAAGGTAACGAGCTGTGAGACTGCCTCACGAGGGTCGCGCTCACCCTGCAGCTTTCCGAAAGCAATGAGAGACCCGGTGAAGGTGACGCCACCGATGAAGGTCCCCAGGAAGAGGAAAGTCTTGATGACATTTGCGGCGGGGTCAGTGGCGAAGTGGGGGTACTCTTGCAGGTACTCTGCGAAGCAGGTGAGGACAGCAGCAGCGCCAACCAGGCTGTGGAACAGCGCCACCATCTGGGGTAGGTCTGTCACCTCGATACGCTTCGCCGCAACCGCACCAATCAAAACACCTGCAGCAGCAAAATCAGTCATTGTCCATAAACATTCGTAAATGAGAAGTGTATATGGGTCAAGGATATATGCAAAACTGCAAAAGATCCTACTTCAAATAAAGATGCATTTAGTCAAAGAGACATTCACACTAAATCAGACATTTCTATCCAAATAGAACTGTAAGTTGAACATTTCATAAATAAACAAGTCAGTTCAAGGTCATGATTCATGTGTTGAGTAGATGAATGTCATTGATCAGAAGAGTTGCCATGGTTACAGCAAATTTACTACAGAAGAAAAAGAACACGTCATTCAGACAGATTGGCATTTGCATTGATCTTGGAATTGGCTTCCAAAGAGGAGAGTTGTCACTTACCAAGGCCCATGCAGCCTCCCATCTGTGCAACAGTTTCTGGCGCAGGCTTCAACATCCCGAGAGTGGCAGCAATGCCAGACGTCACTCCAATCATGCCGAGCACATTACCTGTACAGAAGTAACACAAATGAAACCTGCACATACTCAAACAATTATTTAGAGAACTTTTAAGAAAATCAGAGGCAAATATTCAAACACATATGATAATACTTAAACCTGAACCGAGACAAATCAATTCAAATATTTCAATAATTATTTAAAATTGACTCAAAAAGAAAAGTGAGCGAAAGGGAGGGTCACCCAAAAATATGATGTTTGTAGAATTGACAAGTACTGGTACAGTATTGCGCTGCCATCATTCAAAGATATCGTGTTCTACATTTGGATTTTGGTGACAATCTAACGTGACATAACCAAGACAAGAGAATTTGGGTCTGTGATTATTAGCCAATGAACAAAGCCGGATTCGGAGGGAATCCACTTGCTGCTGGGACGAAATGACGTATTGCCATTAAGCGAAATGTAAATCCTGATACGGTAAAAAGAAATTGAACAATGATTTATGACACCATCAATTATTGATTGTCCTTTCATTTGATATGGTTGTAATTTCCAGTCTGTCAATATTTGACAAGTTTTTATCTGCACACTATGCCAATACGACATCTATTCGGGGGACTGCAACTGAGTATATTGTGGGTTGTTAGCGCTGCATTCAGCAATATTCAGCAGTTTCTAAATAATCATGTGTGGACCAGACAATCCAGTGATTGATATTGTGAGCAACGACCAGCGTCAACAGGTAATGCGGTCACACCATTAACTGAGTCATCCACCTGATAATAGTGATAATACAGCACAAACCAATTCGGGCAGTTTTCTGGGATGCCAGGCCAGTGAGTGCGCCAACACAGCAGAGTCCAGCTGCCAGGTACGCCATCTGGTGGATGTCTGGGTAGGTTCCAGCAGCTGCGGTGTAGCCGTATCCTCCCAGGAATCCTGCAGCCGGGATCCCGTACAGATAGTTGTACTCTGGGGGATCATCTGAAATAACAGGACACAGTGAGTTCGTTTGCTTGTTTGTTGTTTAACGCCGCACTCAGCAATATTCAAGCTATATGACGGCGGTCTGTAAATAATCGAGTCTGGACCAGACAATCCAGTGATTGGCATCATGAACATCGATCCCAACATTGGGATATGATGACATCAACCAAGTCAGCAAGCCTGACCACCTGATCCCGTTAGTCGCCTTTTACGACAAGCATAGTTGCCTTTTACAGCAAGCATGGGTTGCTGAAGACACAGTTAGATCAAGTAACAAATGGAGTGGAGTCTTCCCGAGGCAAGAGAGTTAACTGACTTTAAAAGTCCAGTTTCCACCCTTGCCGAACTAGGCTGGAATTCCTGGGCTCTATCGTAGCGCCACCAGTGGCAATTTCGAGTTACGTCCCTTCTAAGCATCTCCTTTAGACCAATCAGATTCCACCTCTCGTATCACTTGCATTTGCTTCAAACAAAACAGTGGCGTCCATTCAAGACGATCTGATCAATAATCAAGGTCTATGTTGTGATAAAACGGGTCTTACATGCAGTTAGCACCTTGATTAAAAACATGAAAAGATTTGGAAAATATCGGTTGACAACGAGTTGGCGGTGCACATGCTTTGCAAATCCTGCAATCGACCGAAATCTGCACGACAGTTTACGAACCGGATTTCAATTTTGTTGCACGATTTTGATTGGACCATGCATAGACTTGTTAGACCAGCCAAAATGTAACTTCATAATACCAGCCTAGTTCGGCAAGGGTGGAAACTGGACTTTTATAGGGCATACCTAAAACAATTGTCAACTCGTTGCCTAATGGTTAACATATATTTCCCCATATATTATATATATTTCAGATGGAATTTAGAGCACATCGGGACATGCGGAATTATACAGTATGATTGAACACATGTAACTGTGTCTTGGGTATATTTTTAGATGCAAGACGTATGTAAAATCAAATTATTTCTGAGGGATTCTTTGACGAAGAACTTGAAATCATGCGCACATTCTGATTGGTTTGTCGTATTTTCGCACATAACATTCATCGATAGGGGGACGAGTCTTCTTGCAGGTTATGGAAAGGGGTGAGTGGTGACGAATGCTCCCGTACAGTTCTGAGTTTATTGTGTACAATGTTCATCTATCATCAAGTTTAATGTGTCTACGCCAGTCTTCCATCACGTCTGATTCCAGACTGAAATTGTTGGACCAAGGGTCAATTTTGTCATGTTATTGATGCTTACTCCCTAATCCAGATTCACTTTTCCAACATCTCACTTGCAGTCTGGTAAGCTGTTCTCATCACTAAACAATGTGTTCACAATATTGGCTGATGATGTGAATGACTGCTCATCGACATAAAATAACAAGGGAGTTAACTCTTGCTGGAATAGGATTTCTCTATTCTGGACTGCTGTCTTGAGAGGTAAAAAAAAATATATAGCCTTCAACCAACTTAATTGTTAATCATAAAACACAAAGCAGAATAATTAATTAAGAATAGTATTGATAATAAATAACTACGTATCACCATCGTTTTGATATGAAACACATCAATACCAATCAAGAACATTAACAAAGCATCACTACTAATTAATGAAAACTGGTGATGGTCCTACAAAAAGCGGGATTTGAGAACAGAAACAGCTTTTTCTTTCACCCAGGACCATCGCTAGGCGCTGTCTCTTTTTGTCGCAAAGCAGTAAATGCATTAAGGAATAATGCAGGAGAAGTAAAAAACTGACTGCACCAACCTGGCCTCTTGAACATGTCAAGCATCCTTTGAGTGACGACAAATCCACCACCGATGTTGACGGAGGAGATGAATGCTGCCAATGCCGCCAGAGTATGGACGGTGTTGGATGGCATGTAGCCGCCACCCATGAGCAGCAAGCCCCCAACAGCCGTTGTCCCGGAAACCGCGTTGGTCACCGACATCAGAGGTGAGTGCAGCGCAGGCGTTACACCCCATACTGTATGGTAACCTAGCAACAAATTAACCCCATTCAAGTTAATAAAAGAACTCTTCTTGTAGACCTTATGTTAATAATGTTTAGGGGTCCAAGATTAGAAAACTTATTGCAGTAAACTTCAGCACATTGCTAACCATGCTAATAACTGAATTATTCCAATTTGTAAACACTCTTTATACCGCAAAGTTTACAGAGAACAGCTCTTGGGCATCAGTTGTAGGATTTCCTATGAATACATTTTGAATAGTGAAAAAAATAGAAATTAATTACTAATTCTTATTACATGTATTAAGCACAATACATTATTTTCAAATGAATGCTACTCAACTTTTGGAAGTTATTCCATACGCAGCTTTGAGCACAACTTGGCTATGAAAATAATTAACATGAAATAAAGCTGGAACTGTGTGAGTTCTATGGCAATGTTTCATGGTGTCATCTTCAGCAAGGCATAACAGTAGCGTACAAATAACGAGGAGTAAGGTTTCTACTGACCAACAATTCCTGCCAGGCCGAACGTTGTCACCATCTGAGTAAAAGCAGAGTTGGGTGAAGCCACACCAAGACCTGCAAGAAAACACAATCATGTGGTGAAGGGTATTGGCATGATTTTCCTACTGCAGTTTATTACAATGATTCATGTTTTGCGACACATATCGCAACATATTGCATGCATTCTTTCATCTGTAATTCTTTATGAACCTGAAATGAAAACCTTGCCCATCACATTTTTGACAACTTTGTTATCGTTAAAACATATGACAATTACTGTTAACAGGTGATCTTATTTCAACCGATGTATTGTTTTGACTGAATGGTGAGGTGGGGTGAAATGGGGTTTAACGTCGCATCCAAGATTATTGCACTTATATAGCAACGTGTATGTACATGTGTGTGTGTTTGTGTGGCTGCTTGTACTAGTCCGGACTGATGCCAATTTATAGTGCTTGCTCACTGAGATACCATGCCGCAGTTTAACATGAATACCCCACTCAGACACAGTAAACTGACTCCGAGCCCACCAGTCCTTGTTTTAGCCCCTTAATGTTGAGCGCCAGACAAGGTAATAAACAAGTACCATCTTTTAACGTCTTTTGGTGTCACGCGGTCGGGGATCGAACCCTGGACCTTCCGATCTCCGGGCGGACTCTCTACCACTAGACCACGGAGGTGGTCTTGACTGAATGGCTGCCATTGCAGCAAGCATTGCCATTTCCACATGTTGCAGACAAGACACTCACCAATCATACTCCCCAGTCCGGTTGTGTACAGAAGAGATTCTTTGAGGGTGTTGTTGAAGTAGTTTGGTGGTGGAGGCGGTTCCTTCTGGACCGCCTGTGCCGAGGCTGCTGCTGCTGCTGCTGCCACCTGCGCTGGGGAAGGTGGTGGTGGTGGTGGTGGAGGCCACAACAACTTGCCCTACAACCACATGCACATTTTCAATTTCATTTTTGTCAAATTTGGATGAAAGCATGGAAGCAACTGAGCAAAACCAAGAAAGTAGGGCTGTTACTGATTGGTTTGTTTGTTTGTTGCTTAACGCAGCACTCAGCAATATTCCAGCTATATGGCGACAGTCTGTAAATAATAAGGGGAGCTACAGATGAGAAGGGGAGCTACAGATGAGAAGGGGAGCTACAGATGAGAAGGGGAGCTACGGATGAGAAGGGGAGCTACGGATGAGAAGGGGAGCTACGGATGTGAAGGGGAGCTACGGATGAAAGCTACAGATCTGAAGGTTAGCTACAGTGTGTGAAGGGGAGCTACAGATGTGAAGGTGAGCTACAGATGTGAAGGTGAGCTGCAGTGTGTGAAGGGGAGCTACAGTGTGTGAAGGTGAGCTGCAGTGTGTGAAGGGGAGCTACAGATGTGAAGGTGAGCTGCAGTGTGTGAAGGGGAGCTACAGATGTGAAGGTGAGCTGCAGTGTGTGAAGGGGAGCTACAGATGTGAAGGTGGGCTGCAGTGTGTGAAGGGGAGCTACAGATGTGAAGGTGAGCTGCAGTGTGTGAAGGGGAGCTTCAGATGTGAAGGTGAGCTACGGATGTGAAGGGGAGCTACAGATGAAAGCTACAGATGTGAAGGTTAGCTACAGTGTGTGAAGGTGAGCTACAGATGTGAAGGTGAGCTACAGATGTGAAGGTGAGCTGCAGTGTGTGAAGGGGAGCTACAGATGTGAAGGTGAGCTGCAGTGTGTGAAGGGGAGCTACAGATGTGAAGGTGAGCTGCAGTGTGTGAAGGGGAGCTACAGATGTGAAGGTGAGCTGCAGTGTGTGAAGGGGAGCTACAGATGTGAAGGTGAGCTACAGATGTGAAGGTGACCTGCAGTGTGTGAAGGGGAGCTACAGATGTGAAGGTGAGCTGCAGTGTGTGAAGGGGAGCTACAGATGTGAAGGTGAGCTGCAGTGTGTGAAGGGGAGCTACAGATGTGAAGGTGAGTAACAGACGTGAATGTGAGCTACAGATGTGAAGGGGAGCTACAGTGTGTGAAGGTGAGCAACGGATGAGAAGGTGAGCTACAGAAAGCCATGTGAACAACCAGGGATTACCTCCTGCAGGATGATGGAGCCTCGGACTACCTCGTCTTCCAGGTTCACGTTGTAGTGATCCTTCTCTCCTGCAACCAATGAAGTGAAAGATGTCACGGGGAACCACTTTTATCAATTCTTCATTCCCTTTAGAGGCCTTATCAGAAGTCAGGCTAGTAAATGTTTCAGGTTTAATATGCATTCCTCACCTTGCCGACAGTACAGTGTTACACAACTCTGTACACATGCCAAACTTATTGAATCAAATTGTCCATTGTTTTCAGGAAAACTACAGGAATTTCATTTAGGGAAATATTTGTAGGGATAGATTCAATCTCATTAAAATCAGATCTTAGTTCTAACTCGCTAAACAACGATCTGAAGGCATCTCATTACGGGTCAGGTCAGAACGACCTATCATCCGACCAAGCGTTGCATACCAGATCATGAAATTGACAGTCAGAATGTGTTTTCTAACCATGCAACCTTGACAACGTTAACACAGGGTATACTGAACGACAGTTACAGCCCGTACGACTGATTCCGTCAAAATTATCATCTATCTCCCGCTTCCGAGGGGTAAACATTTGATAGAGGAGGCGTTGCACAGTACGTCACTACGTGGGAAGCACTGCCATACAATCTCTGTCATACAATCTCAACCATATATCAGACATTCCCGAATGTTTGTTCAGTTTTCAAAATTTTAATCGAGAACTGTGTCGACATATTTTTCAAGCGTAGTATGAAATGGAAGTGCCGTAAAGCTCAAGAAAGCTGCTTTCTACTAATTGGCTGATGTCGACTTCTTGTTAGTCATTTCAGTGGTTGGTCAAAGTTCGCGAAAGGTCGTTCTGACGTGACCCGAATGTGATGTCCTCAGATCTGTTTAGTGGCAGCGAGAACTTAGATATGATTTTAATGAAATTGGGATAGAGTAAATATAAACATATAAAATATTTCTGCTCACAAGAAGTTGGGTACCACCCGATTCTTTCATATTATCATAGTTAATCTGTCATTTCATAACATTAACTTTTAAGTGTTTGAGAATAGTACTTCAATAACATGGCATGCAAGCTCAACATGATAAATGTGAAAGAAAAGCGACAGATTAGATACAGGTAACAAATTTGATAACCATGGCCTAAGGTATAGTACTGACAGACAAGATGACATCATGGTTCATCTGGGATCAGGGTGCCATTTTTCAAAGCGATCTTAGCACTAAGGTGATCCCACACCAGACGCTTAAGAAACATTCATAGCACAAGCAATCGCGATAAATATATCTGTCCGAAAACGTATGATGTCCGAAAAGCTATGATCCGACATTACAATATAGATGTTGATTATTGGCCTGATCTGCTTGACTGGGCGCCGCCATTTTGTTTGAAACAAATGAAAGCGATATGAGAGGTGGAATCTGATTGGTCAATAGGAGGGACATAACCCCTCTGGTGGGTGCTACAATCGGGCCCAGAAAATCAAGTGTAGTTCGGCAAGGGTGGAAATTGGACTTTTACAGTTACATAACTCCCTTGCTTTGGGAAGATGGTAGTGGGCCAACCATGCCCCAATAGGGAATCTGTTCAAGGTTGAAGGATACCCACCAATAGAAAGGAGAAACTTGGAGATGTTGTTGGCATACAGCGTGCTGGACTGAGTGGGAAGACGACTCGGAAAGTCGGTGTAGCCTATGTGCACCACATCATTGTACTTGGAGATTTCACCAGGGACCGTGGTTTCAATGTTGCCTCCAGCCTCGGCAGCCAGATCCACAACTACAGACCCTGGCTTCATCGAGTCAACCATGTACTACAACAAACAAACATTCATATGCACTGTCTACAGAACATGATGTCTTATGTATAATCATTTTTCTTAACGTTAGCACATCATGCAGACCAGTGTGACAACTGTTGACTGAATACAACTGTTAACCATAAACAAATAATGCCAATCAAATGATATCTTGCAATTGTAATGGTTCGCACATTGGGATAGTGGTATTCAAACTTGACAGACAGATGCTTTTACTACCTATTGGCTTATGTCTATTTTCTAAGAATCACAAGCCATTTGTAGGGGCATGGTTGCCATTGAGTGGACATAATTCATATTGAACAATTTCCTTGCATCAAGCAACCCAAGACTGACGAGAGGTATATTTTCCGAGTTTGCTTTAAACCATACAATGGAAAACTACTCAGCAATCTCAGTGTTAATGTCTGAGCATCTTGAAATTTCAAGATGTTGGTTGGTTTGTTGTTTAACGCCGCACTCAGCAATATTCCAGCTATATGACGGCGGCTGTAAATAATCGAGTCTGGACCAGACAATCCAGTGATTAATATAATGAGCATTGATCCACGCAATTGGGATCGATGACATGCATCAACCAAGTCCGCGAGCCTGACCACCCGATCCTGTTAGTCGCCTTTTACGACAAGCATAGTCACCTTTTACGGCAAGCATTGGTTGCTGAAGACCTATTCTACCCCGAATCTTCATGGGTCTAAAATTTCAAGAAGAAAATAAAATAGCAAATGGCCCTAAAACGCTTGTGAAGGAGACAACGTCAACAATGTAAAAAAATCAGAAGTATGGCATCAGCCTATAAATATTCCAGAGCACATGGTGTAGACAGAGGCGGAACATACCTTCTTGATGAGAATGGGAGCCTTCTTCCCTGGGATGAGAGCAGTGGAGATAATGATGTCTACCTCCTTCGCCTGTTTGGCAAACAGTGCCATCTCTGCTTCGATGAACTCTTTGGACATTTCTTTGGCATACCCACCCCCACCTTCACCCGATTCCTGAAAGAAATGTCAACCAATGAGAATGAGTCAATGTTGTGCCACAACACTGTATCCCACCTGTATATGTAGCTTAAAATCTAAAAAGAGTTGGCCACTTAATAAAAGTTGATGTCAACATTGACAATGATTAACATATGAGGACAGAAAGGTGAGACTAGATTTTCACCATTATATTAAAAGATCAATGGTAATCATCTAGTAATATAAATATCACCAACCATGCCAACTGCAAAGTGGCTACCGCTAATGCTTCATGCATGAACAGTGGCAGGGGCCATACCTTCACATTGACTTCCAAGAACTCTGCACCGAAGGACTCGACTTGTTCCTTCACAGCAGCTCTTGTGTCAAATGCTCTTACAATGGCTCCCATATTTTTGGCTGTTCCAACAGCTGACAGACCAGCTACACCCCCTCCGATAACCAAAACCTTTGCAGGGGGCACCTTTCCCGCTGCTGTAATTTGACCTGAAGTGAAGATATGACAGTTTTTTTTTAAAATAGAGGTCGAATAACGTTTGGATTAAAATTCTTCATGTAGTACATAGAAATGTAACAAAAGCCCCAAGTTCTTCAGATATGAAACATTAAAAAACAACAAAAACAATTTGAAGTAAAAATAACTGGAACATATAAATAGGAGTTTTGAAATGTAAACATGATTATGGATGTTTTCAATAGAATTAGTTATTTTTAGTTTGTTGTTAAACGCCGCACTCAGCAATTTTGCAGCTATGTTAACGACTGTAGTCTGTTAACATGGTTAATAATAAAGGACCAGACAAAAAACAAATAAAGCAAACTTTGCGAAGTACCCATCTCCAAAAGGAGTGAGTGAGTTGGGTTTAACACCGCTTTTAACATTATTCCAGTTATATCACGGCGTGTCAGCTTAATGTGGGAGGAAAACCCGAGGTGATGCAGGTCTCAGATGTTTACCACTTCGGTGAAACCCACGAGCACGGGTATGGTGCTGACAAACCAATATTCGAACCTACAATCATAGGTTTCTGGCGTGCCCAAGGGACGCAACTCTGCACAGCGAATCACGGCACCTTAGACAACTGGGCCACCCATGCCCCCTTCTCCAAAAGGAACATAACTTGATATGACAGTTCTCTGGCTATGTCTATTTTTGGTAGCAAAGAGGCCCAACCCAAGGACATCAATGTCACAACAACCTCATGCTTTGAATAAGTAACAACACTAACAGATTTTTTATTTCCTGTTGTGAAGGGTTGACAGTACATTACATTTGTACTTTGTTGTTTAAAGCCGCACTCAGCAATATTCCAGCTATATGATGGTGGTCTGTAAATAATCCAGTGATTGACATCATGAGCATCGATCTCATCAATTGGGATACGATGACATGCATCAAACAAGTCAGCAAGCCTGACCACCCGATCCAACAAGCAAAGTCGCCTCTTTCGGAAAACATGGGTTGAGGAAGACCTATTCTATCTTCATGGGTCAGAATTAGTTATTTGATCAAGCTAATCTAACATTGATCTTTAACTGTCCAAGCAATATTTGTTTTACCTGTGAAGAATCTGCCGAAGTTATTGGCAGCTTCCACCACGGCCTTGTAGCCAGCAATATTAGCCATGGAACTGAGTGCGTCAAAGACCTGAGCGCGACTGATACGAGGAACACAATCCATCGCAAACACTGTCAACTTCCTTTGGGCTAGTTCATCTAGAAGAGCTTTGTTTTGTGCTGGGTACAAGAAACTGATCAATGTACCATTTTCTCGAAATGAACCTATTTCAGAAGACTCTGGTCCCCGAACCTTTAAGACAATATCTGATTCATAAGCATCCTTTGCCGCACTTATATTGGCACCAGCCGCTGCATAATCCTCGTTAAGAAACTTGGCCTCCACGCCAGCATTCTCCTGTATATTGACCGTGAAGCCTTTCTTGATCAAGTTCTGCACTGCAGCTGGCGACAGGGCCACTCGGCGTTCATTGGGGAAAACCTCCCGTGGAACGCCGATGGTTAGATTCTTGTATGGGGTGCCACGGATTGGTACCGCCTCCTTCTCTGCCTTCTGGCAATAGAAGCGAGCTGCGGTTTTGAATCCATGACTGCATCTTGTGGAGATCTTGTGCATGTTGGATCCGACACTGTCTACCAGGTGTATCGCTTGTTGGAGCCGAAGCAACATTGTGATGTTTGGGTGTGGAAATATTTAGGCACAACCAGCACCTGTGAACAAAAATTTCACATGATTGAAAATTTAAATAAATAGAAGGTTAATAAAATTAACATGATTAATAATCACAATAACAAGAAATGAACCCTCAAATATGAGGGTCATGATAATTGGATGACACGGATTCAAGTCATATGTACTTCAGGGATTTGTCTAGACCTGCTCAGAGGTTAAAATTCAGCCTCAAGACTAAACAAATATCAGCACTACTGAACTGCACATTAAAAAATCAGGGAGTTACAGTTATAGCATTATATAGTTAATGTTTTGCAGGGAGCCAATACGAAATTCAAGGAGCTTAACTATAATATTATGGTTAGTAATGTACAGTACTGATAAACCATCTAATTCTTGGAACCCACATAAATCATCAGAAGCTTATGGAATTTATTAGACCATAAGTTAATAAATGGTCACAAAAAGCAAGTATTTAATTGATTACTCAATCCATCAGTATTCATTAATGTATTATATTTCCATCTCTAATGGTATGCATTTAAGTAATAGCATTGCCTGTGTTATGGGTTTGCAAATGTTACTTGTAATATTGCATTGATACCAATATCAATATAGAGGAAGAGGTATTTGTGCTCAGTTCAACATTATTGCCTGGAATGCAATGTTAAAATACCTCAGAATTTAGGAAAATAATATCTTAATTTTTTTGTACACAATACATATTGGTCACTTAGTTTAGAATCTTGGATAAATCCCTGGTAGTCAGCACAACATCAAAAGTAAAACATGCGACATAAATCGAGTCATCATCATAGCGACCTGATCATTGCTGCTAATATAACCATTTTATTACGAACAAAAAGAAAACAAAACATTCAACATAATTATTGATGTTGTAGTTTTCAGGATATTTAAATATTGCATCAAATGTAGACATTCACCACACTAAACCACATATTGTTTGTTTAACGCCGCATTCAGCAAAATTCCAGCTATATGACGGCGGTCTGTAAATAATCGCAATTGGAATATGATGAAATGAGTCAACCATGTAAGCAAACTGGACCACCTGATCATGTTAGAGCTCCTTACGACAAGCTTTTAAGGCAAGCATGGGTTGCTGAAGACCTATTCTACCCCGCATCTTCACAGGTCTACACCACATACATACAAATGGAAATTAGTTTACTTTACACTGAGCAGGTGTTATCAGCTGTTATCAGCTGTGATAACTGATACTGCCTCCACTATAAATATTGTACATTTCATTATTTTGCAGGAATGGAAAGTGGATTGTGTTATCTGACACTGTTGCTTGTGCTCCGTTGCGATGTGATCTTTATGGACGTTATATGGCTCTTTAGAAAGTGTAGTCAAAGTGAAAGAGTAGCGATGTGTTTTAAGTAGAGGTATATCCCTGTAACTCTCCATTCCTCAAAAATAAAGGGCCTCGGCTCCCTTATTTTTAAGAAATTGATAGTTTCTCGGGCATTCTCCTCTACAGTTTTAAGACACAAATATTGGGTATATTTGGCCAAAACATGGTATATCAACCTTACAAATAGTCTGACCTCCCAATATCAAGGTGTGTGTAACACCTGTCTACCAATAGTACCATGAGTCATGCTTGTGGAAGCATGTTAGGCTTAAACCTGACAAAACTCTAGTTTTTACTTTACAAAACAGGGCCACCGACATATGTGCAAGATGTGTTTTATTGCACATCTTATGATATGCTAATAGCCCTGTTCCATATATTGAGTCTGCTGGTTTGTCATTTTGATTGCATTTCATATTTGTTTTATTGATAAGAAGACACAGCACTGGCATGCAGAACACTTCAAGCAACAGATCGAACAATTGTATTTAGGATTTGAACATACAAACACCTGGAAAGACTTACTAGTGCTGAGCCAAACTTCAATATTGGGCATGTGATAAAAGTATTTTTCTCTCACTTCATCCGACATTACGATGATTGTGGTTTAAAATTAATGCACTCAGTTAAAAATATAAATACCGTTATATTCGAAGTAAACAGGGAGGATGAGACTTAAACACCTGCCATGAAATACATGTGCAAACTGCATGCGAGAATCATGCTACCGGAGTCCTTGCTTGACCTCCAGATGGTTCTTTTCTTTTCCTCAAGCACATCTCTTTACTGACAGTTATTTCCTTCAGGTAGCATTTATGAATAGTGCTTTTCACTCCAAATATAATAAAATGACAACGTGTCAGTTTCAATAGACAAATGTCAAGCGCCACGAGCACCTGCCCGTGTGTTGATTTCAAACACCGGGCATATGTGATCACACAAACGTCATCACATCTCTATTTAAGTTACTGCATACGGATTTAAGAGGTGATCATTCGATTGCAAATTATATTAAATTTAGAAAACATACACTGAGCTATAACCCTGGTCATGCTTCGAAACTTACTTTAATACTTAGTGCCGCATTTGGCCAAAATATTCCACCAATTCCGAGAGAACTTGTCCCTCACCACGGCAATGATGGCTGCCGCCGGATAGACTTCTTGTCTAATCCAATAAAAAGAACGCATCGGGGTCACGTGCCTAGGTTTCTCAGGCGACTTTATTGTTTGAGCAGGGGGTAAAGGTTTAAAAGACATAAACATTAATCAATGAATATTCATAATTTTGATGGGATTGCGATAACATACTGATTATTTATATGAATTATTTGTTACTGAGATATATCAGTCATAAAATACATTTTCTGAAAATTTTACACCTAGAAATGTCTCAAAAGGATTTAATGCCACCCCTATCTTTGTTTCACTACAGTCACTCGTTCGCATACTGGAGGAGTCTAAACCTTTAAGGGGTGTTGACCTATTAATTTATTTGAAAATGTTTAATTCCTTGAGTAAAGTGACATACTTATAATTATTGTATAATACAAAATATTGGTCTACATTTAATAAGGGGCATATTAGGTCAAAAGTTATCTGTTTTACTCGTTACTCACACCCCTCGCGTTATATAGCACCCCTCCCCCCTCTCTGACGTCAAACTCTCACGTGTACGACATTGCCGGTGTCTCTCTTAGCAAGTGCTAGCGAAAATGGCGAGTCCTGTAGCTTCGGTCGGGAAACTTCTGGCCCGTTTGGGTGGAAATGTCCAAAATTATCTTACACCAGTAGCAGTGAACGCTACACAGAAAAGAAACTGTAAGTTGCATGTTCGCCTGTCGAAGTAAATGCTATAGTGATATGAGAAAATTGAGCGTTCACGTTTTGTATCTTATTGCTTGCCGGTGCCCTTGGATTGGCATTGTCTTTACTTTGTGATTATTATAAAGTTTTACATGGAATTAGAAGTATTGTTTCAAGTCTTTGTTTTAGCATACAGAATTACAATTGTCTTACGAGTAGCAGCATACGAAAAAAATAGGAGACTTCTGTTAATTTACTTGCACGTGTGTAGAAATATGTTTCGCTGTCAGAATGATTGGTAACAGTGACAGCTGTGGCATTTTATTGTTTCTATTAAAATCGGGTTTTTTTCGGCTTCCATAGGTTAATTCACTTTGTTGCATTGGTCTATTAGAAACTATTGCAGGTGTTTGAATTCATATGGGTAGACCAGGTCCTCCTGTATTTGGAGGTCATTTGCTTGGCTTTAGAGTAACCTCCCCTTCATTTCAATAGACTTTTTATTCCACTGAAGCAAATGATATGGTAATAAATGATAACTATATCAACACATATATTGTAATGAAATTGCTATTTACATCAGGGTGCAGTCATTGCTCAGTGTAAGGTAACGCAATTAGCTGTTCAGAGTTGTGTTCCTTGATCAGCCAAAAGTTAACTGGGATATGATCATGGGTTCGGATCCTGGTTTCCCCCCTCCCTTTATGTTTCTAGGTGTGTCAGCACCATACATATGCTTGTGGGTTTCACCACAGTGGTAAATGTCAGACCTGCATCACATTGGGCTTTCTTCCCACATTAAGCTGACACGCAGTGACACATAACTAGAATACTGTTCAAAGCTTGTTAAACCCAACTCTAGTGCTGGGACGGGTACTCAGGTCGGGAGGGTACTGAGTCAGACCCGAGTACCCACAGGACTACCAGGACCCGTGGTTAGTCATGTGATATATTGTTTAATGAAAATTATCTAAAACTCTATGGTTACACTACAAGTCACTAATGTTCTCATTTCTTTCTGACTATGCACCCTTTCCTTCTGACTTGTATATGTTTGAATTAAGATAAAACTTCATTTTGCAAGGGCAAACTTTTCCCAGTTGGACAGTTTGTACCTATCTCTTGAGACCTACGGCGGGTTGGTTTCTTGTTTAACGCTGCACTCGGCAATATATTCTAGTTATATGACGCTGTCTGTAAATTATGAAGCCTGGACCAGACAATCCAGCCTTTGATATCATGAGCATCGGTCCACGCATTTGGAATCGACATGCATCAACCAAGTCAACGAGCCTGACCACCCGATCCGGCTAGTCGGGTTGGGTCGGGTAATAGGGGCATGGGTACCTGGGTAGTAAATTTTGACTCGTCCCAGCCCTGCCCAACTCACTCACTTTTTACATCAGTTCTATAAGATTTTGGCATAAACCTAGATTTATAAGAGCTAAGTTCAGTTGCCCAATAGAAATGTTGATACCAAGGTGATAGTGGCTGTTGAATGTCAATATCTGTCTTTGTATTGCATAAAAAATATTGCATATAAGGGCTGACAAGTATTTAATACAAAACTGCATGTATAACATTTGGTTATACACAGTTGGAGACGGAAATAATGCCACATCTTGTTCGTGGGTTATACTCATCTTCCTGAGGCAAGGGAGTTTACTGACTATAAGGCTCAAGTTTCCACCCTTGCCCAACTAGGCTGGAATTTCTAAGCTCGATCGTAGCACCACCAGTGGCTATTACGAGTTATGTCCCTTCTGTTGACTAATCAGCTTCCACCTCTCATATCACTTGCATTAATCACGTGAGCACCTTGATTTAAAACATGAAAAGATTTGGAAAATTTCTGATTAAAGCATGCTTTGCAAATCCTATAATTGACCGAAATCTGCACAGAAGTTTACAAACCTGATGTCGATTTTGTTGCGCGATTTTGATTGGACTATGCATAGATTCATTAGTGCAGCCAATAATTCCAGCCAAGTTCGGCAAGTGTAGAAACCAGACTTGCATAGTCGGTTAACTCTCTTGCCTTGGGAAGATGATTATACCCAAACCCACCTGGTATTGAAAACATGGGACACACATGGCAGTAATAACTGGCTCATTCCAGATACTTTGCCAACTCAAGTTACTTTTTTCTCATTACTTCCCAGCATTTTGTGACCACTGTACCTATATATGTTTGAAATGTAAAACTATAAAGTAGGGGAGAGAAACTGGCCGGGGTTACCAGAGCAGATACACTGTACCTTTCTTATTCATCAGAGGGAAAAACCCAGCTTGTACACATGACCTATGACACATGACCTCGGACATATGACCTCGGACATATGACCTCTGACCGTGTCCTTGAAGTGCTCAACTGTAAACATTCGAAATGTATAATACAAGGTGTGGGTGCCATAACAGCAGTTAACAGTACATGGTAACTATCTGGACAGGCAACAGATAAACTGTCACGAATCCAAAAAGATAACCTATTTCCATTGCACTATCCTGTTGTACTTGAAAGCCTTTATATTTGTACTCCATGTATTAGCTATAGATACAGATGTAGCGCTACGAGCATCCACTTGAATGGAATCTGGTGCATTATAAATGCACCTTATTATTATTATTATTATTTATTATTACAACATGAATTATTATCATCATCATACAACCCTTGGCTCAATAACTTCTTTCTGCTAAGTAGTGATGTTTTAAGTACGTAAGTTCATCTTGCACAAAAAATTGAAGACAATGAAGCAGCTCTTCTGTTGTTGAAAGAAGAAAAGGAAGAAATGTCAAGGTCATGTCTTGAGGTTGAGAGGTTGTCAAAACTGTTAATTGTGTGCTTCATTCACCAGTATTACATACTTCGGTTTGGATGCTCCAAGCCCCACTTGTGACTGACACCTGGAGCACATCCCCATTCATTAACCTGTGACTTCTTGTGTTGTGGTTGGTAACAAGGAAACAAACCCTCCTTCTCAATGTTGTCACACAGCTGCTAAATACTGGTGGACTTCACACACGATGTAGGCAATGACTCACTGTGTGGTCTGTCAATTTGTGTCTCAGCAGCGCATGCTGTTCGGTATCGCCGACACCACGTTTGTGTTCATCGGACCAAATCATGTTCACCTGAGAGGAATGAAGAACATAAAATTTGGAACATTTTGAAACAATCATTAGACAGCCTTCGAAAATCTCGCTATTCAGCTTACCATGCTTACCTGAGACCACTTTTGCTGAGGACAAGTAAAAATCCAATGATGGTAGTCCTCATTGGCTAGTAGCATTAGGGGGGCTTAGGTTCACGTTTGTTACAAAATGAAACAGAATTATGCTGACAGAAAATGTAAACATAGTAAACATTTTTGTCTTGTTCAAGCAGGCCTAGCTATGAAGTCTCAGGACTATTGAAATAAAGTTTCAACTAGTTCTCAAAAATCCAAATTTTTACAGCTGAGCGATGGATGAATCCAGTGTATTCCAGGTCCCCCATAATTTTGAACAATACACAGCTGAAAGTTCACTTTCAGGGTGTTGTTTCATTAGTACATGTAGTTGTGGTATTAAGAGTAGTAATGTACTGCATGCTTGCCATAAAAGGCAACTATGCTTGTCGTAGGAGGCCACTAATGGATCAGGTGGTCAGACTTGCTGACTTGGTTGATGCATGTCATCGTATCCCAATTGCTTGGAACAATGCTCATGATGTCAATCACTGGATCGTCTGGTCCAGACACGATTATTTACAGACCACTATCATACAGCTGGAATATTGCTGAGTTGGCGTTAAACAACAACAACAAAATAATGTACTGTCAACCCTTCACAACAGGCAATAAAAAATCTGTTGGTTTTACACATACATATTCAAAGCATGGGGATATTGTGACATTGATGGCGTAGGGTTATATAAATAGATGAACATAGCCCGAGAACTGTCATATCAAGTTTTGTTCCTTTTGGAGATGGGTACTTCGCAATGTTTATTTTATTTGTTGTTTTGACAGTAGTATGTTGTGGCAAGGGTTCATGGAATTGTGAAACAAGTTATATCCTAGACCTTTTAGCATGTTTAGACTAGATTTTCCTGGTCACAACAAAGTAATCATTCATTTTTGCAGATCTGTAAATCAGTGTAAAAACAATATTTTCTTAGCCATGAGATGCCCCACGGGGGCACAGACAAATCACTTTGACAAAGCGACTTATTATGCTCGTCAGCTACACTGTTTTAAAGTTTACAACTCAGCAAATGATATAGTCATAACAACCGGTTTTGCACATGGATTGTCATGTTTATTGTGTTGTAAACTGCCAGTATGTGTCAGCTGCACGTGACTATCACACGATAGAGGCCATGACACCACAAGGGGCATTGGAAGTAGGAGAGCTTAGGGAGCTGCCGGCTGTCATTGGGTTATCACAATCTTTATTACTAACTAGATAAACCAGGGGTCAATTTAGCTCTATAAAACATGCACCAATGCAACCAATTTTTAAGAAAGTGCAACCTAATGTTTGTGTACATGCACCAAGTTCATGTCAAAATCTTCCAAAATTGTCTCTGACTTGTCCGGACAAACACAGACGCAACCTTTGAACACACTCAATACTTCTAAGCTTTGCCATACCACATCACCAATCCCTCTGTTATGTGTAATTTGTCATGCTTTCTTGGATTTGACATCATCAAACTATGGGTACTTCAAGATTATGTGCCTGTTCCTATTACGTTTTACCCCCATACTCACTCACTGAATCATAGCATCGCGCCGACGACCCGGGTTCGATTCCCGACATGGGTACAATGTGTGAAGCTTATTTCTGGTGTCCCCCGCCGTGATATTCCTGGAATATTGCTAATTGCGGCGTTAAATCATAGTGAAAGAATGTGTAAAGACTACAATTTCAAGGAAACTGGCAGAAAAATTGTGAATGGTTAGTGTATTCAGAAACAGAATATTACCTGTTTCTCCAACGTGTGTGAAAACATGACAAGTGCTATGAACAATGCTTTTAGCACCTGTAACTTTGAGTGGTTGAAGTATATAATTGTGTGCATAAGTACAAACTGTATTAACAATCACGACAGTCATCAGAGATGTGAGATTATATTTGTTTAGACTAGTTTTAGTATATGTATAGTATAGTATATGTGTATATATGTTAATTTTGATATATTTATGGGACCAGGGTGTTACCTGTTTTTTTGTCTGGTGCAACTAGGTTTTCATGTCAACATGCACCTGGTGCAAGTTAAATCAAGTTTCCTAAATTGAACCTTGTAAACTTGCGCCTTAGGATAAGTATGTATTTTCTAAGTGTTTGTTTGTTTATTTGTTGTTTAACGCCGCTCTCAGCAATATTCCAGCTATATGACGGCGATCTGTAAATAATCGAGTATGGACCAGACAATCCAGTGATTGACATGAGTATCAATCCAAGCAATTGAGATATGATGACATGCATCAACCAAGTCAGCGAGTCTGACCACCCGATCCCGTTAGTTGCCTCTTATGACATAGTCGCTTTTTATGGCAAGTATGGGTTGCTAAAGACCTATTCTCCCCAGGATCTTCACAGGTCTTTTATAAGTGAGAGAGACTGGAGAACTGACCATGCTGACATATCATTAATTTATCAATACAAAGACACTTATTTTAACTGAACAAATTGATGAATAAAGTCTGGATGAGGACAGTAATCACCTGTGTTAAAACAGCCTGTTTGACTGCCTGTTGGTAGAAGAATGCTCCCAATTATCACGTTAATATGGTGTTGTGTTGGTAGATGAATGTACTAAGTTATCACATTGTAACAGTGTTGTGCTGGTAGATGAATGCTCCCAGTTATCACATAATGGTGTTTTGTTGGTAGATGAATGCACTAAGTTATCACATTGTAATGCTATTGTGCTGGTATTCTGTATTGCAGATGGCAGTGGCAGTCGAATCAAGGTGGCCAACCCTGTTGTGGAGTTGGATGGAGATGAGATGACCAGAATCATTTGGGAGAAAATCAAGGAGAGGGTAGGTGGTCACATACACTAGCTACCCTTGTGTTACAACACAACTCGCCTCCACCAGTGCAGCCCACTGAGAAGACACCCCACCCTTGTGTTACAACACAACTCGCCTCCACCAGTGCAGCCCACTGAGAAGACACCCCACCCTTGTGTTACAACACAACTCACCCCCAGCAGTCCAGCCCACTGAGAAGACACCCCACCCTTGTTACAACACAACTCACCCCCACCAGTCCAGCCCACTGAGAAGACATCCCACCCTTGTGTTACAACACAACTCACCCCCAGCAGTCCAGCCCACTGAGAAGACACCCCACCCTTGTTACAACACAACTCACCCCCACCAGTCCAGCCCACTGAGAAGACACCCCACCCTTGTGTTACAACACAACTCGCCTCCACCAGTCCAGCCCACTGAGAAGACACCCCACCCTTGTTACAACACAACTCACCCCCACCAGTCCAGCCCACTGAGAAGACACCCCACCCTTGTTACAACACAACTCACCCCCACCAGTCCAGCCCACTGAGAAGACACCCCACCCTTGTGTTACAACACAACTCACCCCCACCAGTCCAGCCCAGCCCACTGAGAAGACACCCCACCCTTGTGTTACAACACAACTCACCCCCACCAGTCCAGCCCACTGAGAAGACACCCCACCCTTGTGTTACAACACAACTCACCCCCACCAGTCCAGCCCACTGAGAAGACACCCCACCCTTGTGTTACAACACAACTCACCCCCACCAGTCCAGCCCACTGAGAAGACACCCCACCCTTGTGTTACAACACAACTCACCCCCACCAGTCCAGCCCACTGAGAAGACATCCCACCCTTGTGTTACAACACAACTCACCCCCAGCAGTCCAGCCCACTGAGAAGACACCCCCACCCTTGCGTTACAACACAACTCACCCCACCAGTCCAGCCCAGCCCACTGAGAAGACACCCCACCCTTGTGTTACAACACAACTCACCCCCACCAGTCCAGCCCACTGAGAAGACACCCCACCCTTGTGTTACAACACAACTCACCCCCACCAGTCCCACCCACTGAGAAGACACCCCACCCTTGTGTTACAACACAACTCACCCCCACCAGTCCCACCCACTGAGAAGACACCCCGGCCTTGTGTTACAACACAACTCACCCCCACCAGTCCAGCCCACTGAGAAGACACCCCCACCCTTGTGTTACAACACAACTCACCCCCACCAGTCCAGCCCAGCCCACTGAGAAGACACCCCACCCTTGTGTTACAACACAACTCACCCCCACCAGTCCAGCCCACTGAGAAGACATCCCACCCTTGTGTTACAACACAACTCACCCCCACCAGTCCAGCCCACTGAGAAGACACCCCCACCCTTGTGTTACAACACAACTCACCCCCCCCAGTCCAGCCCACTGAGAAGACACCCCACCCTTGTGTTACAACACAACTCACCCCCACAAGTCCAGCCCACTGAGAAGACACCCCACCCTTGTGTTACAACACAACTCATCCCCACAAGTCCAGCCCACTGAGAAGACACCCCACCCTTGTGTTACAACACAACTCACCCCCACCAGTCCAGCCCACTGAGAAGACACCCCACCCTTGTGTTACAACACAACTCACCCCCACCAGTCCAGCCCACTGAGAAGACACCCCATCCTTGTGTTACAACACAACACGCCCCCAGCAGTGCAACCCACTGAGGAGACACCTTTGTATTTAGTATATAGCAGAAAAAGCACATATACATCAAGTCAGGAAGTATTTTGTTTCTGGGCTAAAGACAATTGCTACTGCTCTATGGACTATGTTCCTATTTGAGCTACTTTAGCAGCAGCAGAAATCGGCTTTACTCCTGTAGTCCTTTACAAACGGCCCAATGCTTAAGGTATCATAAGGACCACTAGGAGTTTGCCATTTGTAAGGGTTTTGCTATATGTTATCTTCATAATGTTTGTTAGTTGTTTAACACCATACAGCGCAATATTCCAGCTATATGACAGCGGTCTGTAAATAATTGCGTCTGGACAAGACAATCCAGCGATTGACATCACAAGCATCGATCCATGAAATTGGGATCGATGACATGCATCATCCAAGTCAGCGAGCCTGACCACCCAATCCCGTTAGTCGCCTCTTACGACAAGCATAGTCGCCTTTTACGGCAAGCATGGGTTGCTAAAGACCTATTCTACCCCGGATCTTCACAGGTCTTATTATGATGACTAGTGGACTAAAGTGTTAGTTTCTACCAGTGGCTTTGGTTGAATCACCATGTCACAGTCTGAGATTATCTATGTCACAGCTGTATCATGTGTATGAACACCTGTTGCATTTACACCTGTTTGCACCAGATGATGGAGAGCGGTTACCGTGGTTACAACAGGAATGGGAAAGGAAGAGAGACAATTATCAGTATTTAGTTCAATCTGTTTCTGGAATGCTCTGGTTAGATTGTAAATTTAAGTCAAGCTTCAGTACATCATTTGATTGGTTTACTCAATATGCAGTTGCGTTAACGATTTGTTGAATTACTAGCACATTGCGATAAATTGCTACGATACGTGTCGTATTGCGTCGATTAGATGTCCTACAAACAGATGTATTCCACATAACTGAAGGGATTTATCTGGACCTTCTCAGAGGCCGATATTTAGCCCAAAGTCTGTAGCAAATATCATCACAGCTTCCCAAATTAGAGTACCCGGTAATAAATTTCCCAGTTGATGTCATGACTAATTTCATGGCTATGGACAGGGAACCAGTATTTCACTGATACCAGGACCAATAAAGAGTAAGAGGTTTTAAATAAGTCCCAATTTTCAATGAAATAATGATTTTTTCCCAAATTACATGCCAGGGACACTTAGTTTTGAATCTAAGATAAATCCATGAATTGATGTTATACATTGCACATGGCATGAAATTACATCCTAAAGTAATATTTCTGAAGGCATGTCCACAAGCAATTGTAGTCTCAATTGACCCCTGGGACAGGTGGGGTAGCCTGGTGGTTAAAGCGTTGGCTCATCACGCCGAAGACCTAGGTTGGATTCCCCACATGGGTACAATGTGTGAAGCCCAGTTCTGGTGTCCCCCGCTGCGATATTGCTGGAAAATTGCTGAAAGCGGCGTAAAACCAAACTCACTCACCTGACGCAAATTTGCTTGTAATATTGAATTTGTCATTGTGAATGTGCTACAACATGCTGCTACTGTGCTTATCAAGTTTCTTGTATCATGTCATGGATGATGAAAGGTCAAACATGCTATCGCAGTATGTATCACATTTCATCGACACAGCCCTGATCGTGATCATGTAATCCTATATTTTGAGTGTCTCACTGATATTCAGATATTGAAGTTTTTATTACGATTCAGATGACTAGACATGATTGGAAATTAATCTTGGTCTGCAAAATTGATCTGTTACAAGGTTGCCATCTACCTTATTGTTAAAGTGGTAGTCCACAAGGAAATATCACTCGTCCTTCCTGAATTTACTAGCCTTGAACAAGCAGATACTGTATTCGACGTAATAAGCGCCCAGGGCGCTCTCAAAATTAGAAATAGGGGTGAAAAACAACAAGAGTTGCAAGATCGTAAATTTCGTGGTTTATGCTGACAGCCTGAAATGTTAATATATGACGGATATATTTTTCCAGGATTTAATTGCCCATAATAAAGGGGGCATATAACACACGAGTGAGTATTATACACGAATAAATAAGTCTTGTGTACATTGATCAATCGGAAGGGGTGCTAATTGAGATTGTTCACTAGCCAATATATTAGCAAATATCGTGGTGGGCGCTTATTAGACCTGGGCGCTTATTATGTTGAATACGGTATGTTAATTTTGAACCCGGGTAGAGACAAGACAACATGTTGTAACAGGTCCACAAAGTGATATTTTGCCAAGCTAATCAGTTTTAGAGCCAATGATCTAGCCGTGTCCCGACAGGCAAGGAGAACAGCCTTCTGTAACACATACACTGATAAAAGTTAATACCACCAAGGGACATGTATATCCTATTAGAAATATAAAGCTGCTATGTTGGTTAACTCTACCAAGGGACATGTATATCCTATTACGTTAAGCTCCTATTTTCGGGCCAAGCTGTATTACGACATCAAACGACAATTAGTTGCAGTCAGGTTAATGTTTATCAGGCCAGGCTTTGCTGCTGACCAGGACTGTGAAACTATCCAATTCTATAGCTGGCATTAATGTAGATCTTACGTCAAGATGGTGGTAATTAGTGTAATGAAACAACTTTACTGTTTACATTTTACCCCCGAAAGAGGCACATTCATAACTTTGTATAAGACATGAACAGATAACAATTTCCAAATTACCCATGCAATCAAAGAAATGACGTTGTCAAACAGACTGAATAGAACCAAGAACATGTCCTGTTGATCGACACGGGTTAGGCAAAGGTTCATTTTACACTCCGCTATCAATAATGTCCCATTACTGTGTCAATGCTGTCTCAATGCCATCTGAATGCTATCTCAATGCTATCTCAATGTTATTTCAATGTTATCTCAGTGCCCCAGATATATTTCCAATCTGAACAGTTTGTACACCTTAAATTTGCAGTAGAGGGTCACTGGGATATTTTATGGAACTTTTGCTTATTACAAAGTTTTATACACTAGACCTGTTTTTCACGGCTGTAATAATTTGTAACTGTTGCAACCTTGTCATTTTGTCAGTGGATACTTCTTCTTTTCCAGTAAAGTAGACAGTTGTAACACAACCTTCTCAGCTTCACTAATGTCAAATTTGATCTCATTGTCGTCACTTGTAATGGTCGTATTTGAATGATCATATGAATCCATTTCTAGCATAAGAATGCTTCATAGTAATTCTCACAGCAGTTGTATGTTTCTTGTGCTTGTTGTGCTTCTTGAAATCTGTACTTCACATGAACCGACAATTGCTATTTTGTTCTGCTTTTTCCCCCCGGAGCGACACAATTCGCCGAAATATT